TTGAATATGGTGCTTCCTTTTCATTTCTTCTCCAAGTCTCTTCCTTGAGTGCAACTTAATAAAATTTTATATTTCATTTGTTATTTGCTTCACTGCTTTATTTCAACTGATGCTATTCAATCAAAATTTTAATTTTTATATTGATCATAAAATAATTTTTATAATATTTGGTATAAGTGATATTGTATTCATTAAATAAATTACTGTAGTATTTGTTAAAATATTTTTTATCGTGGTGTGTATGTAGTTATATTCCTCTTTGTACATTGGGGTGCAAAATAAGCTTCTCTTGATTAAGGAAGGGGTGGAGCCTCCCACTATTTCCTTTAGGTGCAAGAGAAACTCAAGAAAAATCTACCAGAAGATTAATCCAGAACATTTCTTCCTTTTCTAAATGAAATTTACTTCCTTTTAATTAAGGGAAGGTTACATCTCCAACACCTTATGCAGCTGGTATCAGAATTACAAATCATTAATTAAGAAGGTACCAATATCTTTGTGAACTTTCACCTTTCTGAACCTGTTCTTTCCACAACCAATAGAAATTTTGTTGCACATACATTGTTTCAACTTCCAAGTTAATTACAATTATTGAACTGTGAAGTGACTTATATTTGTAAGCACAGGTTGGACTTGATTCTATCCTGAACCGCATTTTATCGCGACTGATCGCACATACACCGCAAGATCGAATCGATCGATCGGTAAGGTTGATGGGATTAAACTTTCGAAATGCACACGTTCGATGTGCAGCTAGCGAGGTGAGTCCGCCCCTGGCGCCATAGTGTATGCCTGGAGATGTGCCATGGTGTGTGGTTGTTGGTTGCCGGCCGATGCCCAGTCTCCAGTCTGGCTGCAGCTGCGAACCGGTTATATACTTTAATCTGGCAGTCTTAGCACGGTCCCTAAAAGAGAATCCGATGACTATAGCCAGAGCGTACACGCGTTGGACAAAGAGGCTGAGGGAAAAGAGAGGGAGGTTAATACCTGTACGAAGGCACGCTTATGCATTGGAAGAAAGGATGTCCAGCGTGGTTTTTTTCATTCGACCTGCTACTCCTTCTGGTGTACCAACGGAGCTCTTTTTGGTAACGCTCATCTTTCATTTTTTTTTTTTCTTTTTTTTCACTGCACGGCGGCCACAAAAGCTCAGGAAACTGGATAAATAGGGAATATCAGGAAGGAATTATGCTTGAAGCCACTGTAGGTACGGCTAATTGGTATTCGAGATGAAATGAGACTGTGACATCAAAGGATCGTAATGAAGGAGGAGATCTAAGTATACTGCAAGTACATCCGAAATGGCACTAATTATGTTCAGGTATACAAAATGGTTCATCAGAATCTGTGCGCTTTGAAGAGGACCGATTCGCACCCCATATTAATATGAATTCATCATTATTTGTTTTAGTGGATTTAACATACTTTTTTCTTTTATTCTTCACCACTATGTCACAGAAATGCTATAATATTTTACCCAGCATCGTATCTAATTCATTGGAAATTCTGATCTGATTGACATTATTGACAGGCAGATAGGGAATAAAAAGGGTAACACTTTCATAATTCATGTAGATGCGTATAATTCGTGTATATAAGTTGCGTAATGGAACATTTGGAGAAACAGCGTGGGCATTGAATTCATTCAATTCCGTTTCAATGAAATCCTAGACGGGGGTAAAGAAAGACTTTAAAGATCTTTTTCTTTAGGTCATTCTTGACATCTCATTCATATTCCGCCCACGGGAACGAGTTTCTTCTCTAGATGAATATCACTGAATTTCTCAGATACTTTCTTCTGCTTGGCATTCCATATAAGAGTTACCAAGGTCTACGAGTTGAATTTCATGATTGCCAGGATCACGTCGTTGTCGCTGGATTATCGCAAAAAATCGGATAATAGAAAGGAGGATCCCTGACACGGGTACATGTACGATTGCTATTCGAAATGAATAAATATGTCATTGGTATTTAATGACTCGACGTCCAATGAGAGTTGTCCAATTTCCGCGAGTCACTCAAAGAAATACATCATTGCACGACTGCGTTTTACGAGTGACTGAAAGAAAAACTTCATCATCGTAAAATTATCATACGAAGCATCGTTTCAGTACTTAGATTTCCATGAAAACATGCTTACAGTTCTTAAACCCTCTATAAAAGATACTTATACGAATTACATCCACGGAGTGTATTGAAAATCGCGATGTAAACGATAAGGGATGATATATCGTGCAAAAGCAAGATCGAAATGTAAAATGAAATTTCTTTTCTTCGAAAGTTTTGTTTTATTCAACTTTGAAGATTAGAAAAGTTCTTTATATTAGACGAATATAACTTTGATTTGAGATCGTACATTTACGTATTAAGGGACAAATTTTTCGTAGCTGTTGCTGTCACTTAATCCGAGCTTTCCGAGGACAAGCACGCGCAACGATATTTGTTGGCGTTTTGCCAATATTGCAGCCAGCTTCATCAGACTCAAATGATATATTGAACAACATGACACTCGGACTGAGTCAACTGATGTAATACTGTTATTCAATATCAACGTCACAGTTAGTCCTGACGAAGACCTAATTACTCGTTTTGTAAACGATCAGCTGTAACTACACTTTTAAGCTTATTACTATAATAGACTGTAGACATTCATGCAATTATCATGCAATTATCGATCAACTTCACCTATTGTGATAATATTATTTTTTATTTGAGAAATTGATTTTGTAATATTCAAGAAACTATATTTCTTGAAATGAGAAGCTATTTACAGTTTTCTGTTTCATATTTAAGAAAAAAATAAAGAACCGAGCTACGTGAAACGTAGTGCTTACGAAGAAAAATTCAGTCTTTTAGACAGTTACGTGTAAGTAAGTACATGGGACATTCAAGAATAATAGGTACAGGAGATTCATTGTGAACATGTTACAAATAAAAATCACGTACAGTTACTTCATCTTCAGATACATGAAGGGGTACGAAAGGTCAGTCCTCTTTGAATACGTATGCACGTACTTTTCGAGTAAAGAAGCACTTACAGTAACATCACGTAATGTCTGAGTAGAAAACAAGTTCTACGGGAAGAAAGACCTGTCTGCTTTAAATAAAATCTTTTCCTTATCTTAAACGTACATCGTGTAATCATTAATTCCGATCATGTTAATCCCATTAACAAGTAATTAAAATAGCAATCATAATCAACCTCTCTTATTTTTGTGTTTCTCTTTTATTATACTGGACTTCGCGAGGTTGAAAAGCTCCTCTTCCACGCTTTGATTAAAGGGTAATCAAGAAATTTTTATAACCAGTGTATATTTTTTAACAAAATGTTTTACTTATTTAATTTGAACAATAGGAAAAGAGCATATCATGTTATTGTGAAGTAATTTAATAGACTGAAAATGTGGTACAGAATCGAGTAAAGTAGGCTTCTTTGGGGCGAAATAAAGTTATAGGGGAAGCAAAAATTCTCAAAACTTTGATTTATATATCTACCGACGAGGTATATGTTCTGAAATACCGACGTAACTTTAAATCTTATTTTAGTCATTGTTTTGTTGCGCACTCTACGATTTAGGACGGTGATTTAAGAAAATGCACGACACAAAACGGTCGATGGCAAAGAGTAATTCCCTGTTCAGTTAGTTTCGCCATTCTGCGTCAGATAACACCACTGGTATGGTCTTAAAAGCGCGCATTTCTTTAAAATGAAGAAATGTAAAAGAATAAGAATTGTCATATTTTCAGCTTACTTTAACACACATAAAATAGTGCAATAGAAGTCTATAAATTACAACTTATAACTTATCCTCCTATCAGATAGAAAAATCTAATTGTAAAAATTGTAAGCTAAACGAAACAGAAAATGCAATAAATCTCATACAATTCCTATACAAAAGTGAAAGCTTATTATCATTCTACCTAAAATATGTATGTCTGTAACGCGTGAACGCAATTTAATTTATTGAATTTTGTTTGGAAAAAGATATTCTATTTGATTTGTACAACTTGGTGTGTTTTGTTGAATTTAATTGTAATAAAAGTTTATTTTGCTTGATTTATACAATTTAGTGTAGGGTGATGTTGTAAGTCATGGAACGTGGAATTTACAATGGTGTGCCATTTTTCCATCGTAGATTAAACTTCGCTTGCTTTACCTTTGTGAAATTAAATGTAGAAAAAAATATAAATGATTATGAGTATGATTCGAGGACGGCTGAAGACACGAGTGTTTGATCATTTATGGGATGAACCGATAAAAGACAGAGAAGCGTGCCAACTTTCAACGGTGTAGCCCAGCGTCCGCGGAAAACCCTAGAGTTTTCTGTGGCCATTAAGTCCCCGCGTGCTAGGGTTGACGCAGATGTCGACCTGAGGCCGTTTCCGACCTCGCCAGGAGCAGGATCCTGAGTTCATGAAGGTCAATGCGTGTACGGAAAGAGAAATCTTTCCGGGGCCGTTAGGCTACCGGTGAAACCGGCAGAATTGGCATTGATGCAGGGATAATCCCTTAGCTCAAATGTTCGGATTAATAACGAGCGGCGGCAGCCGTGTCAAAGCATGATGATACATTCATTCGTGCTTGAGTCTTCCTCGAGACAGTATCGAGAATAAAGAGATTCACTAAACAAATGACTAAATTATTTAACCCGCCGATGCTATCCCAGACCGAAACAAGGTCAATGAATATTTTCAAGAAGAAAATAGAAACTCTACTTTTACAAGGTAATACTTTTAAATACATTTTACTTTACAATTAACCAATTTCCATAATTCTCAGTTAGCTGTACTTATTTTTATCCATTAAGACCATTTTCAAATTCATTGATCTAGGAATTGAATATTTTGCAATAACTTTTTATTTCGTAAGAAACATATTTTATTTTAATATTTCCCAAGTATATCTTGCACAGAACGATTCAATCGTTTCGTTCACGATTCGTGTCTCAACTGGCCTTCATTTCTCTCGAAACCGTGATATCATTTTCGTTCAGCCTACTTTTACGATCGAAGAACATGATCGATTTCGCGCGGGTATCACGAATTTCTGTTCCCCACCTTTCCCACAAGTATAATCCCCTGGACGAGTGTCCAGGCACAGGTGACCAAAGGATGGAAAGAGGGGAAATCCGTCGGTGCACGGCTCGGAGAACACGATGGGCTGAATTTAACTTCGAACAACCGTACGTTTTGTGGTATTCTGTGTACGGTCAGTGCTCACACCGCAGAACGAACACCGGCCACCGATCTCCCCACGCCTTTCTTACTTCTGCCTTCAGTTCGTTGTCGTGAGCCCGTCCGAACAGGTGACCGACTCGATCACTCGATAAATCTCACGATCGCCGATCGATAAACGAGCATACCTTCGATCTTTGAATTAAAGGTATCTTCAACCAGTGGTTCACTGATAATTTTCAATATTTTTATCGAAGCTATAACTATTAAAATGATTTAAGTGTTTAAGAAATTGAAAGAAAAATTAGAAAAAATGTATCTGTAACAAGTGGCCCAATAATAATTTTGATTATGCTTGTTAATTTTACAAATGTTAAAAAGTAATAAAGAATGGGTCTAATTATAAATAATTATTAATTTCTAAACGGTGTGAAGAAGAGAAAATTTCAAATAAAATTGTTTATTTAATGGGTATATTTGTAGAAGCGTTTCCATTTGTTCGAGCTCTTCAATTTCTGACGCCTAAGGTAGGAGGGTGATGTACTGGCATAGGTAAACCGAGCTTATCGCCATAGGCGAACGTTCAGTATACCGCCGCGAGCTCACCTGTCCAGGTGAACACCCTGCTCCACGTTTTATCACCACACCGACACATCACACGTACCCTTAAAACGAATCATTAGAAATAAAATCTTTCTCGTCCTTAACAAAACGTATTACAAAAACCATCTAACTTCATTTAAGATTGTTTCTTAAACAGTTACGAAAGTGAAATAACTTGTGTGCTTTAAATAAAGTGACGTATTGCTAGTGAAAGTTTAGAAAGAACAATTTATTACAGAGTGATTTCTGAGACGTGGTTTTGTAACAAAAGAATTGGTTCAAATAAGACATCAGAGAGTGCAACGATTAGAAAAAATAATGTTTGTAAAAATACATGAAAATTGTAGAAGAATATGATGAAGTATTGCATCGTACAGAATTCTATGGGAACCGTGAGTATTATTTGTTCAAATCTCTGAAACTTTTATATGTATTATTTTATTGATATCGTAGAAATTTGCCGAAGTGTAGTTCGTGATTATTGGAAAGTTTGACAGTAGTTTGAAATCGTGACAGCGACAGGTAACGTGCCTATCGTGAGCAACGATTCGACGAATTATATAAGTGCAGAATTTCATAAGTTTTCTGATGAGCAATTAAAACTCGACGCCTTAAATTACCCTTCGAAGTTTAATATGAGATTGAAGTTGTGATTTGGATATTTTCAAAAGACGATTTTCTATTCTACAGTAAAATTATGAAAAGTTAATTACAGCATTTGATTGATTTAACCCTCCATGCAACCCTGTAACTTTAAAATGGCATAGCAAATTTCTATCCTAAATAAAAAAAAAAATAAAAGGATTTTTGTACTTTTTTAAATGTTTGAATATTGCAAAATGTGAACGTGAAAGAAGCATGGAGTACAACATTAAATCGTCATACCGATGCTGTAGAAATCGAACGTGATTACCAGTGTCCTCAATTTTTTCATGATACCACCATTAACAATTAACGACTAATAATCGTGATGCAATCTGTGAATACAACGAAAGGATGGCACAGTAATCACTTTTCGCCTGTGCCACATAGCACAATGATATTGCGAAACTTCATTTCTCTTCTTCATTTATAACAGAAAATTATCTAGATGTCTTGTAATTATGTTTGCAAAGTGCTTCCTTCATACCTGCACTTCGTTCTCACGGAATGCATTAAAATTTTTATGTACTTTTTCTTTGATAATGATCTTATTGTTATAATGCAAAGTGTAGTATGAACTAAATGGCACAGAAGCAATAATATAACTAGGATTTTTGTCTAAGATAGGCTAATGATCGGAGGTTCTATTATTGCCAGGATTAATTAACCAATCATGACCCAAAATTAAATGTGTTATTTTTATACGAAGGATTTTCATATATGGCAAGAATAATTTTTAAAGAAACAATTTGGAATTTAAAATTGTGGCTCTCTCCATGGTCCGTCGTCCGAGGGCTAACAGAGAATCCACTATAGTGCAATTGAAATAAAAATAAGATAACAAAGTGGTATGCAAGCGTTAGTAATTATGTTCCATAAGAGTACTTTTGTACAATGTAGCTTATACAGTTAGCTTTTATGAATACACTAAACATCACATTAATAGTGAGTTTATAGAAACTTATTTTGCATTCAAAAAGATTTGTTTCCGCTATTTCTAAAGGCACACAAGAATTATTTAAATAATTTAGTTACGAATGTAGATAGTAAGAGTAGTTTATGAAAAGAAAGAAGGAAATTATTGTAAAAGACCTTTCATAAATATTGATTTATATCATTGAATACACGAAGCAACGTAATTTTCTTCGCGAAGACAATTTAAATACTTTAAAAACTGCAAGGTTGTTCAACAGAATGTTAGCATTTTAAGCTCGTGAACATTTGAAAATGTTTCAAACTGCGTCAAATGGCGAGTAATTTGTCCAAGTGTTTCCTATTACTTGGATAACACAAATGTTTTCAAGTTTTTCCTTCGAGCAGTGTAACTATGTAAGGTGTAAGGAACAGGGAAGGCAACGATTCAGTAGAAGTTGTTTTCTACATACATTTCTTGTAAATTGCCATCGGCATTTAGAATCGAACGTGAGTTTCAATTTCTCAGTGTATACTAGTCGTTTTGCAAACTATTTGCATAAGTAGTCTTTTTAGTCGATAACCTGTCCCTTTAGGAAATGTAATACTATAGATGTAACCGAGATAATGTAATGGATACCTTCCATAATAAAGATACATATACACATATACAAATGTTTTTGACAGCTTACATAAGTATTCCATACGAATACATTAACCCTTTCGCTGATGCTGTCCGTATATGACATACTACATAAATGGTAGGTATATCTACCATTTAGTAGGTAAATTTTACCATTTGTAAACGTTTTCCTCATATGATTACAACCATAGATATTTTTCTATTCTATTTGATATTTTATACGACTGAAAAATCATAATTTAATTCAAAGAACTGCTTAGCAAAGCCTCAATTATTTTCAAGAAAAAATAATTCGTGACCGAAAGGGTTAAGATATTATATTGAACGCGCCTCATGACAAAATAAAAATATTCTTTTCATTAAATAAGCACCCTATGGAACACTCTTATTTTTATGGAAGTAAATATAAATTAATGTTTAATTTTATGTATCTATCATAACTAAGAAGCAAGTTGAAATCATAGTGCATTGAAAGCACGATGGTAAAGGTTTTCCTAACTGTAAACCGTGATCAAAAATGAAAATTTCTGTTTCCCGGGACGAGTTGAAACAATTACCATCGTAAGTAGCAATTTAGCATCGGTGTATGTGCATTTCATTGGGGAACGATCGCGCAGGTATCGACGATGCGAGGAACACCGTCACGCAACTACATTGTGTATGGGGTGGGCTGGGTAACAGACGGTTGCATGGGGTGTACCCCGTGCGGTGTTATCATTCGGAAGCATGCATGGCAGGTGTAGGAAATGACGTCACGCACCTCCAAGTATCCCCCATTTGAAACACGACCTTACTGTCTATTTTCGACGGACCACCATGCATAAAAACTTCCTCTGTTCTCTCACCAAGTGAAACAGACAAAGGATGTCCTTGCCTCGCGGGTTAACAACATGGTGTACCATTAATTACGAGCAATGTTTGTCTGGAAATTCAAATGGAAACATTGCTCGTTTCTTCATTTTCTTAAATGTAATTATTGTCTTTTAATAGACGTTAATTGCTTTCCTTAATTGCAAGCACAGTAATTAAGTTTCTAACAATGTTGAAGGTTTTGAATTTAAATTCTATTTTTGGATTGATTTAGTTTCATTATTACTACCATTAAATTTATACTCTTAGGGTTTTGAACTGTAGTCGATTTATTGTAATTTCAATTTTTACGATATTCTTTGGGTCCTTCGAAAAACAAGGAACCTTCAACATGGTCTCCTATTATTTAGCAGCTTTAAAAGTCAAGAGCGTGGCCGACACACTCTGTTAGCAAGAGGAACACTACACGGCATATATTCCCGAGTGTTCCTGAAGTGTCGAACCATCCGGGTGAAACACCTTCGCACGTGCATTCAAACCTGCAATTACCTTAATCGTTTGTTGCATCGTTCGAAAGCGCTTTGTCGTATGTCCTATCAAGTAATAATTCTTTGCTATCTTGGATGATAAATAAAGTAACCTTGGCACAGAATCCAGTCATTTGCTTCTAGTACCATAAAAAGTAAAAATGAATATACACAACGACTTTTCCACGATTAATTATTGCAAATGTCTAAATTATACACAATTATAAAAACACCAATTTTGTACGTCAAAAATAAATCATAATTCAGATGAAGAAAAGTGTAAGGTTTAAACTTAATTAGATATCTTGGTTATGAGCTATTGCAAAGGGGTTAATCAAAGGGGTAGTATTATCACAACTTCTACGCTCCCTTTGATGTATTAATAATTATCACGCGATGTTAGCAAGAAAAAGTGGTCGAGTTACAAACTGTAATTTGAAAAAACACTTGGTCATCTCGGTCACGACTTCTTCCGTAATCTAGATGCTCTTCGAGACTGAATTAATGATGTTTCGTAATCTCGCTTAACTATCTGGTTTCCGGGCATCGGCCTTGCAGACCACTGACCACGGCCGGATGCTCTTGTCTACCAAAAGCGAACGAATAACCACCGTGTAGAAACCAGTGAACGAAGCTTTAATGAAGTCTGCTTGGTTCAACAACCGTCGAACACCTTTTGTTTCTATTCAATCTCCCATTGTACTCGATCTTTCCGATTGATATCGATCCGCGTTTATTGTTCAGGGATAAACTTCCCTTGGGATTCGTACCTAGTCTGATCCAAAAGTAATCAGACATTTTCCTCTGTTGCATTTTTTAAAAACTGAAATCATCTTCTTCAAAGTATAGTAATCGCTCGATAATTTCTCGCCATTGGTTCCCTGAAGGGGGTATTTCTTAGAAATAAAAAATTATTCACCTTTCAAAAATATTTTATGTTACTGAAAAATTGATCAATGTAGGAATGTTTCTTGGTCTTAACACTAGAACTACCAGAGTTTAATGTAAAATAAAATTAATTTAAAAAATAATTAAATATAGAATGAAACATAAACTAGCATGTACAGTAATTCTTTATCTGAACAAAAATCAACGTATGTTTCAATAAATTTTATAATTTAAAATGAGAAACTTGAAATAAGTCATTTTGACCCTTTTGGTAGTTCTAGTGTTAAGCATCACCCAACTTCTCAAAAGGGTAGGAGCACTTTTATTAAGTTATACACAAAACATGATAGCATAGCATTGCTTATTATTTTCTTACTATTCATTTATTTCAAAATCCCTTTCTTGAAGCGCAAGTAATGCGTATTTCCTTTCATTTATCGTAACAGAAGATTTCATTAATTGAACTCCTCGTCTACTCATGTCAGTTAGTTAGTTATCAGTTTGAATCAAAATTTTTTCAACCGTGACATTTATTAATCTTACAATTAGCCGATAAATCTTAAAGGAAGTTGTAAAAACGGTACAACTGTGATTTATCAAAACAATTTGTACAATATTTATGTGTACCAAGGAAGTCGTCTTAAATAAATAATTTGTTTCGTTGCGAAATAACTATTGCGTATAAGAGATGTCGAAACGAAAACTAAAGAAAGAAACAAGAAAAGAAGAAAAATTCTGCTGATCTTCTTTTTTAATATTTAGAAATTCAGATCAAATGAAACTTCAAATAAATTCAAACGATTGAAAAGAGAATAGAACAGATCATCCGTAACAGAGATTGAGATTTGAAAAAAGAAAAATAAGGCGTGTGATCTATATTATAAAGTATCTTCTTGGAAATTGATTTTGTTTTTCACCTCGCTATTACGGTTATGTGGTATAACATCGACATCGTGGGAAACGAACGGTGACTTCCGGCCAGCTTTCACTTTAATTTAATTGTCCTTCTGGTCACTCCCGGCACTTGACAATCTTGACATTGAACAATTAGGTACTACTGCAGAAAATTCGTTTAAAAAACGAATGAAATAAAACTGAACAATGTATCTAAAAAGACACATCAATGGTTACGCGAGTGTTAAGTGAAATTATTAACATAACTGTATTATATCATTGTAATAGTATAAACTTTACGCAAGGTAGAACGTTTTAATTACACTATAATGTGCTTAAGCAAATGATTCATAAATAAAGCATTGCGAAAGTAAACGAAGCGAGTTAATAACGGAATTATTATTGTTATCACTTTATCCTTAATGAATTATCATTATACAAAATGTTTTATATATTATATATTTATTGCATTGAATAATACCAGTATAATCTATTACCGATACACTTTTTGAACATTGAATTATTATTTCAAATGAATGGATATTTTTTATATTTTCAAATAATAACATTAGAAATACCCGATTGAAATACGAATTTTCTTATTTTAATTTCAAATCAAAACCACGATCTGCGAATAGAAGAGAAATTCTATATCAACAACGATGATTAAAACGCCTCCACGTTTCCCTGAGCAAACTCGAGAAAATCGTACTGATTCATGGACGAATTTTCACCGCAGCGGAGAAATCAGCTCTTTTACGACGAGAAAATCTATAACCTTTTTCTTTTCGTAATCGGTTTACTCGCGCTTTCCTTCTGGCCGAGTTACCTTTTTAGCAGGATGTACAAATACGCTTTACCTCGATTCTTCATCTTCTCCCGGCTCGTTTTCTCCGCACGGACAATTATAGCGTTCTCAGAGAGGACTTGTCTCAAACGTTGCACAGTCGGACTAATTAAGTAGAAGACACACGACGGGAACTCGTTTCAATTCCTCGAACACGGTCTCAGCGAGTAAAATCACATGTTGACGAGTTATATGAGCGTGAAAGTGACAAGAGCTCGAAAGTGGCGCGTTGTGAACCGTGTTAATCGATTTAAATGCTGCAATTAAAAAAATCCTGCAAAAAGTATAATATGTTCCTTTTTACACTCTTTTCTTTTGGTCGGTCGAAGAAATTTCATTATTCTGTACCTTCAAAACCTAATTTTCCAATAAAAGAAGAATGTTTGCTTCATTATGCAACGTTAAAGAAATATTTTCTTTGTTTTTGTTCAAGGATCCATTACGTTATCGCTGCAAGCATCGCAATTATCTACAGAACAGATACGCTGATCCGACGAAAGAAAGTAATCATGTCAATTAAGCAAATTTTGCCAGTAAGATGACCTCAACAAAGCCAATCACCACGTTTTCGTGGCTGTTACGCTCGTACAAGAGGCGAAGATTTAAGCCCGAATGGCTCGTTTTTGTGTTCGCTTGCCTTTTGGCGAACTGCGATGCCAGGAACAATCCACCGCGTTTCCTTATCGATGGACAAACGGAAATCATTCTTAGATTGAAGGAAGGTCCTGATACACCAGTTGGTAAGGACACGTTGAACCTTGTTTTTTATTTTAGAGCACACTTAAAAATATTTGTATAATAAGTGATTGAAAAATATGAATCCATATAACGCATAGAAACAATTAACGTGGAATAATTTGGAACGAGATCATTCATAAGAATTACATTATTATTATTTTCTAAGATAAGATTCTTTTATCTTAATAAACTTCCTATTGCTTTAATATTATGTAACGCGTCAAATTAGTGACAGACAGAATTAAATTTAAGAGATAATTGAAAAGACTGAAAGACTAGAAGGTGTATTTTACGGTCAGCAAACTCTAGACTTCAAAATCCAGACTATAAATCTCTGATTTTATCATCATTAACGTCCTTAAATGGTTAGCATTGCTATGTTTCATCACAGCATCGGAACTTTAATGATACAATTAAATCAATAAATTATTAAATTAAAAAAAAATGTGAATTGAAGAATTTTTAATAATAATTGTATATTTCTTGTTAGTTATTTTTGGAAACCATTCGAAGCAAACGTATAAATAACACATGGGAAAGAACGATATACGTGGAATTTTATGGCTTCGCGTATCATACTAATTATTTGTTCTCTTAATTAACCCTGTTGTTGATTATAGATCTTAATTGCCTTTTTTAACATTCAATTCAATTATTGCTGCAGTATACTACGAGCAAGCTCATGTTTAAATGATTAATTAAATTTACAACTAATATGTTTCGCTTTCTATTATCCATCGCATAGAATCCGTCATGTAGAAAATAAAAAATAGTATTACCCTCTTTTGAATCGAATATTCTTTCGGTAACTGCACATCTGCGCTCACTGTCTACGGTGCAGTCATCATTTCTGCAAATTTGAACTAATTACCCCCTTTGTTCGCCGATGTACATTGTGTTGCGATTCGTGTCGACTGGTTTCTGTTGCAGGCAGTTTAATTTACAAGCTTCGCGGCGCCGATCCTGACGGTGACAGCCTGACGTTCGGTGTTAGAGATCAACCTGACAGCGACGTGATTCGGGTCGAGAATTTTAGTCCGAACCAGGCCAATATTTACCTGAACAAATTGCTGGACAGAGAGGTAATTCGTCCTCGGGACGGTCTATTTCGTCCCAATGATTCCATCCACTCGGCCACGATGCCGAGCGCACGAAATTGCCCCAAATATTTTGAAATTTTTCAATCCCTTTAAACAATTAAGGAAAAATAGAAGAAAGTTTCTATTATTAAAAATTATTGAAAATAAATGAACAGTTGATATATTAAATAGCACACCTTAAACACTCTGTTCACTTTGCTATAGAAAATAGCCTAGAAAATGTTTGTCTTTCTCTATATTATTATGGTAGCAAGAAGAGATCGTTTCTCAATGCATCTCGCACGAGTGATCTTTACTTTTTGAATATCTTTCACTTATAATATATCCGATCATTGTAACATCGAAGGCATTAAAGAGAAACTCGACTACGAGCAAAAGAAACGAATAATTTGTGATCTGAAATGGATCTCTTCGTGGAACTTGCTATTTTATAATCATCGTTTCTCTTCAATTTGCGTGCGAACGAATTTCCTACTAAACAGCACGATATGTCTCGTGATTATTGGTTCGATGCTTCGTAATAGAAACTGAGATATCCGTATAATAGAGCAGATGATGATGCTGTTCTATATGTTCTATAAGCAACAAAGTGGTCTGCTTGTAACTTATCTTTTCTAACCGTTCTTAGAAAGGAGACCGGTAGTGCTACTTTTCAAAAATAGTAAAAATATCTCTTGTAGATTCTAGACCTAAGTGTAGAACTTAGAAAAATAAGAATTTTTCTGAAAATTACATTGCTGATATTTCTTCAGACAAGGGATGAATACGCGTTGGTTCTGACTCTGACGGACGGAAGACTCGGCGAAGGAAACTTCATCACGCAAAGCCTGCTATTGTTAGTGGAAGATGTTAACGACAACGTGCCAATTTTTCGACCGCATCCGACTTCCTTGACCGTCCGCGAGGATTCAGGACCGGGCATTTTAACGACAGTCGAAGCGACTGATGCGGACTTAGGAGCGCACGGACAAGTGGTTTATTACCTGCAAGAACTCGATGGAGATAACGACGTGTTTAGTATCTCCACTGTCAATGGAAAAGGTGTCGTCCGTCTAGTTGGTCGTCTAGATTACGAAAAGAAGTATCTCTATCAACTGAGAATTTTGGCTATTGATCGAGCAATAAATGAAAAGGTTGGTTCGAACATGAGGTGCAAGATAGAGCCCTGATGGTTCAATAGAAATTATCTTTACGACTAACAAATTTCTGTAAAATATTTGAAGGAATTCATTGTTACTATCAATAAATTATTATGTTTGTATTTATCTCGACTGTTCATTAATTCAGGTAAACACTGGAACAACTGCGATCCTCGTTAAAGTGCAAGATGTCGAAGACCAACCTCCAGAATTTATTACCATGACGCCTGTTGCCCGAATCAGTGAAAATGTTAGGATAGGCACGTCTGTTCTTCAAGGTTGGTCTACTTACAAAAGTATAAGTTTCATTAAATAGAGAAAAATATATTAGAAAATGATAATCCAAAAATTTTATTACAAATAAATATCGCAATATAATTTTTAAATTTGATCTGAAATTTTTATCAGTCTTCAAATTTATTTTATAATAAAAGATCAGGGTTATTTTATAATTAAAAATATTTGAAATATGTTATAGTGCGTGCTGTAGACGGTGACAAGGGGATAAACAATAAAGTGACTTACAGTATAACTCAGGGACCAAGGTATTTGTTCGACATAGACGCCACTTCCGGTTTGGTGTTCACCACGGCCCAACTCGATAGAGAGGCGGAGGAAAATGCGGACGGCACTTTTATTCTGGAAATTACAGTGAGGGAAGTGTCGAAAATCGTACCTGCACCGTCGGTTTCCACCGAAATCACGATTATTCTTACGGACGTGAACGACGAAACGCCGAAGTTTCGAAGCACGCGATATCGCGCCGAGATCAATGAAAATGCGCCGTACAATACCCCTGTTAATTTCATCGGAGATGCGATACCGGAAGTCTACGATCATGACTTGGTGAGAAATGCAGAGGTTATACAACTTCGTGGGATCATTGATAAACTCGCTCGTTTCTCTTTCTTGCAGTTCTCCACGTTTAGATAAATATATTTTTATAAAAAATGTTCTTTTTTATTTCAGGGAACAAATGGTACTTTTAGAATGTTTATTGAAGGCGACGATGGAATATTTGATGTTACACCATCGAGGGGGATTAATGAAGCTCCTTTTTTAATACGTGTCAAAAATTCTAGCAAACTTGATTTTGAGGAAAGATCAGGTATGCAAATAAATCATTTAATATCTTACAGAGTTAGGCTTATTTGAAATAATTTTCTGACAAAATTTTTAGCTAAACCGAAGATATTAAAGAATAAGAAATAAATTATTTACTTATTCGAATAATTAAAATAATTAAAATAATAAATAATTTTCAAAAATCAAATTTTATTTTAAATAAATTTTCATTCAAAGAAACAATTGCTTCCGATTTTTAAATATTTTCATTTATTTGAAATAATGTTCAACTTTGGTATCTTCTATAATTTACATTTATTTAAATGTAAATACTTCCAGAGGTGAATTTTACGTTAATTGCAAAAGAGGTAGTATCAGTGGCACCAAAACTCAGCAGAGTACCAGTGGTAGTTTTTATAAAGGATCAAAACGACAATTATCCAGAGTTCACTGAAAACATTTACGAAGTATCGATACCAGAAAATTGTGCTGTTGGAACAACAGTAGCATGGGTTCAGGCTTTGGATGAAGATAGTGGTAATCTTGGTACACGTGGAATCAGATACACGAATCTTGGGGGCAGTATTGCACACGCGTAAGTTAAATAATAATTTAACACGTCATAATATAACAATAATAATAATTTCAGTAATAATATTTCACTCCTCCTTTATCAAAATTATGAATAGAGGAAAACTCGTTATAGGAAGAATTATTTTCTATTTCTAATTTTATGTAATTGCTACGTTCTAGATTATCAATGGACCCTGTAACAGGTGTAATCACAGTTAAAGAACCTGGTCCAAGTTTCGATCGAGAGTTGGTATCCAGACATTACTTAACCGTCGAAGCAAGAGACGATCTTGGCAAAGGTAATCGCAACACGGTTCAACTAATAGTGAACATAAACGACGTGAACGACAACGCCCCAATATTTTTACAAAAGAAATACGAAGCAGTGTTGCTGGAAAACGAGGATCATTTCGAGTCACCATTAATCGTCGAAGCATTTGACATTGATTTAAATGGTCTGCAATTTCATTATTCAATTATTTCCTAAATGATCATATTTACAAGCTTAGTGATAATTAATTATAATTATCTTCTTAACAGGTACCAAGAACAGTGAAGTGGTGTATGCTTTGATATTAGGTGAACTTTCGAGAAATTTTAGTATCGACTCAAAACGAGGAATAATTAGCCCAATGACACCATTAGATTACGAAGCACTACCTATTAGTCAAGGGCACAAAGAAACATCCGTCCGTCAATTGAAATTAACAGTGAGAGCTAGGGATATGGGTACGCCAAGCTTGAGTTCAGACGCGCCATTAATTATTTATCTGAAGGATGTTAATGATAACCCACCCGCATTCGAAAGAACCTTGTACAAAAGAAGCATTCCTGAAGATTTACCTGGTGGAACGAGCGTAGTTCAAGTATGTCCTAATAAAAAAAGTATTACAAAATTTTGTATCAGATAAAAAATGAAATTTTTGTCGCAGGTTAGAGCTTGGGATAAAGACTTATCCTCGCCAAATAATAAAATAGTCTATCGAATTCAGAGCGGTGCAGGTGATAAATTCGTGATCAGCCCGGAGACAGGTGTGATCAGAGTCGCACCTGGCTCGAATTTAGATCCAGATCTCACATCGCCGAAAACTATTCGCTATAATTTAAACGTCCTTGCGATTGACAGTGGAACGGAAATACAGAGAACTGCAGAAGTTCTTGTTAATATTACCATTGTGGATGTTAATAATAAACCACCGGTTTTCATTGATCCTGGTACAGTTACCATCCGGGAAAATACGCAGGTATTTTCTTATATTTGAATGTAGGAATTATTTAATTTTTAATTTTTATTTATAATAGGGTTGGAATCCCTTGAATAAATTTAACCCCCCATAGCTTTTGTATTTCATACAGAAATAAATTGCCATGTTATTTATTCCAGATTACATAATGCCGTGTTCTTTCTGTAATTTTACTCGTCGAGAGTTTAAACCATAGTTTATTAATTTCCTTTGTTATCAGGTTGGAGCTTATGTGCACCGCGTTGTCGCTAACGACCCCGACATAGCACCGGTTCTGCGTTATCGCATTGATCCAAATTCATCGGAGGCAAGAAACGAGGAAGGAACTTTGATTAAGATTCAAGAATATGATTACCTTTCCGCTTTAGAATTGAACGCTCTCGACGGTCTCCTTCGAGTAGTTAAACTAATAGACAGAGAGAGGGTGGAGACGATAAGACTAGGCTTGGTGGTTGAAGATTTAGCTGCGATTAAAGAAGTACAAACCGCATTCGGTTGGTATTTATTAAAATGAATATAATAGAGGATTCGGTGCCTTTTTGTTTTAACTGAAAATTTATATTTGCCAAAAATTATAACACTTAGATTATAATTTCAGCTACATTGAACATAATAATCGAAGATGAAAACGACAACAATCCAAGATTTCGGAGACCATTTTACAGACGATCAGTGACTGAGAATAGTAAAAATGGTGTCAACATTGTTAACATTGTAGCTGATGATGCTGATAAAAATCGTAGTATTACGTATTTATTGGAAAGTCCAAAAGAATTGGCAGATCTAGTGCACCTTGATTCCGAAACAGGAGAAATGGTCGTCGCGAATAAAATCGATAGAGAACAATATTCCTGGCTTAATCTAACAGTTAGAGCCACTGATTCAGGAATACCTCCAAGGTAAAATCACCTGTCAAAATGGTCACTTTTATATTTGGAAAACAATAAATGTTATAAAGAACAATATTATTATGTTTATAATTTTTAGATCAAGCCTGTCGGAGGTGTACGTCCAGATATTAGATGAAAACGACAATAATCCATATTTTATAACCGATATCAGTAATTTAATGGTAATGGAGAACGCGAAAATTGGTACCGAGGTAGCTACTATTCAGGCTAATGATCCTGATAGCGGAGACTATGGAAAGATTACTTATTTATTGGATAGAATGTCATCTCAGGTGAGCAGGAATATTATTAATCATTCTTTGATACCTTATGCGTAAAAATGATTTGATGATGCAGGGAACGTTTGCCATTCATCCAGAAACTGGTGCTCTAACCGTAGCAGACTCCATTGATTGGGAGACTAAACAAAACTATGTTCTAGTCATAGAAGCTTGGGATAACTATCAGTTCGGTTACACGGCTGGTGAATCAAGAAACGCTTTTAAACAAATTCAGTAAGTTAAATTATTTTGAATATTGATAATTAATCTTTCGTGAACCAGGTGAATAAAAGTCGTTTCCTAAACCATGCGGGATTAATTTTAATTTAATTAAATTTAATTTAATTTTAATAATGTAAGATGCAAATAAATAAAAATTAATTTCTGTCAATTTCTGAAATATAGTAATTTTAAAACGACTGGGGTTAATTTAACGCCATATGATTCGCGGAAGACTAAAGAATCCTATTTATATTTAAGAAAATTAATTTAAAAATGAAAACTTTTTCTAGGGTTACAGTAATAGATGTTAATGATAATCCACCAAAAATGGACATTCCTTCAACATGCATTACCATATCAGAGTTCCACGATATCAAGGACCTAATTTACGCCATTAAAGTAAAGGATGCGGATGATCCAACCACCCCCAATGGTCGTGTGAGAATTAGAATTCTCTCTGGAAATGAATTAGGTTCGTTCAAATTTCATGTAATTAATTTTCATGCCCACTATGTATGTGTATAAATTTAAATTTTTTGTTTTCTTGAATAGGTTTATTCATCTTAGAGCAAACAGACTATTGGAATGCAAATATAAAAGCAGCACATTCGCTTCGAGGAAAATTTGGCAATTATTCGTTGTACTTGGAAGCTCGAGATCTTGGAAGTCCTTCTAATAAAGACACATCGGTGTTAAACATTTGTGTTACCGATTACAACGATAATCCTCCGGTATTCATCAGTCCGCAACACAACACAACCATCCGCGTGCCAGAGGTTAATTTATAATATTTTTCATTGCAAAAATTGTTAACTTGTATTTGTGGCATATCGTGATACAATGTAAAAATTGACAGAACGTAACAATTGGAACAGCAATTATCCAAATTGAAGCGGAAGATGCTGACACCGGACCAAACGGTGACGTTCATTATCGTCTGAAGCAAGATTTAGCTGGTCATTGGAGAACTTTTCATATCGATGATAAAACGGGAATTATTTTTCTGAAACTTCCATTGGATAGAGAAACTCAAAAATTATACGAGGTAATTTAATTGAAAGCATTAGGAAAATTACCGAATATGTAATAATAATTATTATTACTTTATTACTATTACTAATAATTATTTACTAATAATACTTCATTACTATTACTAATAATTATTATTACTTATACAGATCAGAGTGGAAGCATACGATCTAGGCACTCCAACCCCTCTCAGTTCGGATCTGGATTTAATTATTTACGTTCGAAATATCAACGACTACGAACCTCAATTCTTAATAGACATTTTTAATATTAATTTTACGGAGGAACAGCCTCCTGGATCAGAGAAGATTTTACTTCCCGAAACTATCGACAGGGACGAAGTTGATGAACTCGACGATCCTCCTACCCAAGTTTGTTATTTTATAATCAGCGGAAACGAGGACGGTCTATTTACGCTAGACATCTTTAAACACGAATTAAGCGTAAGTTCTGATACTCTTTATGAAAATTTTCTGATATTCTGTTACACTTTCATTTTATTTTCCTTGTGTAATTTTTCTTAATTACATTTATAAGTAATTATTTTAGGCCTCCAAAACTTTGGACAGAGAGCAACAGGAACAACATTTGTTAATTATTAAGGCAACGGAAGATTGTAATACTATTCCGGCAAATGAAACTTTTTTCGATGAAACAAACGACACTACGTTAAAAGTAATTATCGACGTGACTGATATCAATGATAATCCACCAAAGTTTGTTAGTAAAATCTTCACAGGAGGAGTTACCACGGAAGCTGATTTTGGCACCCAATTTATGCAAGTCAAGGTAGGATATTATTAACTGTGTGAATAATAATTCTTAACATTCCATTTAATAAAATTCAATTGAAATTTAATTGAAATTTATATGATTGTTTCAGGCGATTGATTTAGATGCTGGTGATAATGCTGTAATTAATTATTACCAAGTAGGCAAGATGCATATGACTTTGACCGAAGGATTAGATGACATTGAATTACAACCTTTTCTCGTTAATGAACTCACAGGAGTTATTAGTTTAAATTTTGATCCTCAAAGAGGGATGAAAGGATATTTCGACTTTATGGTATGTCAAATCTATTTTATAACTTTTGTCTCTTTTTCAATTTTCACGAATTTTTAATTTAATTAACTTTCCATTTGAATAGGTGATAGCTAATGATACAGATGGTTTACAAGACACTGCAAGAGTGTTTATTTATTTATTAAGAGAAGATCAAAGAGTTCGTTTTGTATTGCGACAGCATCCACCGGAAGTTCGGAATAGAATAGAAACATTTAGACAGTAAGTTTAAGAAATTACCTTTTTTGAATAGAAGACAGTAATCTCTTATAGTAAATAGAAGATTTTGTTAAATAGTTATTAAATATTAGATTTTTATTAAATTATAATAAAGTGCCTATAAATATATATTCAAAAATATACATTTTCAGAACACTAGGAAACGTGACTGGAGCTATAGTGAATATCGACGAATATAAAATCCACGAGAACCATGATGGTTCTGTCGATCGAACGAAAACGGACTTGTACATGCACCTTGTAAATCGGCGCGACAATTCCATCCTCGAAGTATCCGAAGTACTAGAATTAGTGGACAGAAATATAGAAAAGCTCGATAGCCTGTTCAAAGAATTCAATGTTCTCGACACGCAACCAGCACAGTACCAGCCGATTGTTCAGTACGAGCAAGCAGGAACGACGTTTTGGCTTTTGACTTTGACCTTGTTTCTAGGAGCTTTGCTAATTTTGTGCATAGCCCTTTGCCTCTCGCAAAGGGCTTCATTCCGAAGGCAATTAAAAGCAGCTAATGCTTCACCGTTTGGTAATTATCAAAATTATACATATTATATATATTAGTTTGGCATTATTTCAAATAATCTTCTGACACAAATTTCGACTAGGACGGAGATATTCGAGAATAAAAAATAAATTTTTATCTTGAATAAAAAGTTATTCGAATAATTAAAACAAAAATGCAATTAGTTATTTGGAAATAACAGAAAAAATCAAATTTTATTCCAAATAAAAGTGTCTTTAAGTTGAAAATTATTCATTATTTTCAAATAATTTGGTTTTAATCGAGGTTTTTATTGAAAGATCTGTAAAGAAATATTATTTCTTAATTAAGGTACGTCAGATGCAGAATTTATCAGAGGACCCGGACGTGTTCCTAATACGAACAAGCATAGCGTCGAGGGTTCCAATCCCATATGGATGCACGCTTACGAAAACGAGTGGTTCAAAAGCGACGAATCCATTAGTCATACATCTGAGAGAGATTCTCTCGATGAAAATGCCCTGAACAACGAAGAGATGATGAACGAAGCTAACACAGACCAAAGAAACGAAGATAAGCCGTACTATATTGAGCCAAGAACAACTTCGATCTCAAGGTAAATGGTGCTTAAGAACTTCATAATAAAATGTGATATAGTGAAACAGAAATAGAAATTTCCATATAAAACATTTTCATTTTAGCATGGAAAGTATAACAAACATTCCAAATGAGTTTCATCGAAGTTCATCGATTTATAGAACACAGAACACAATCGTCAATCCTCTTGGCAAGAAAATCGAAACGACTGAACTGTAACTGAACAACGACGGTAACACTTCGAACAAATACAATTTAATATTAATATTAATATTTATAGATTCATAAGGGAAGTGTAAATTTAGAGTTATTCGTGTACATAAATAGTCACACTTCGTACAAAGGATAGATTGTATTTAATATTTATTTTATAGTAATCTTAAATGTTACATCGAGAAAGTATGTACTTCATATTACCAAATTCTCTATTATTTTATTTATTTCCGTTATATGTCATGTTTAAGGTAAGCACAAATAATTATCTGAACGAATGTCATTATTGAACATTCTTATCTTCATAGAAATTGAAGTTTATATTTTGTTCAATATAAGTAAAAATAAACTTATGAATGATCTCTGCACACCAATTAACAAATATCATATTTACTCAGTGTAGTACTATTTCTTGGATAGAATTGTTATGTAAATAAATATGAAATTTCTTAACACATAAAATTTAGAATTAAATGTAACCCCTAACTTCTTCTTTTTCTGCTGACAGCAAGTCAGACAAAATCAGCACAAGACCGAAAAATTATTGGAATAATTATTTGACAAACTTATATTTTGAGAATTCGACCACTGCGCCATCTATACAAAAGCGGCGGAAACTACTCAATAAATTACCGACTGAACTTCCGACAGTCGGTAAGTTAACGAATAGTTTGCGCCGCTTTTATATAGATGGCGAAATGGCTGATGGCTTGGGGTGTTAGGGACCCCGAAGCACGAGTGATGCTCTTTGCGTATCGACATTATGGCATCCGGGATGTCAGGGACCCCGATCAGTGGTACTGACTAAAACCCCACGGCGACCGAATATGGCGCTAAAGGATAGCTTTGGGACCTTATGTATATTACTCCGGAGCCATCCATGCCTACTACATTGGTACCCATCTGGGGTGCCTAGCATGTGGCCGACACCGGGGGTCGCACCCTGTGCCGGCTTTTACTTAAGCCGCGTGCAAAGGCGTCTGGACGCCAGGGGCCCGCTTTTGGTGGTGAAGCCGTCATATCTAGTGTTGAGAGAAAGGCTGTATTAACCTCTCCTTGCTAATCTTCTTGTTGCTGTAATATGGCAAGACTGAGCTCGTTAGCATCTCTATCCCTAGTAGTTCTCAAGTTGAAAAGTGACACAGACGGACGTCTTTGCGCTTTATATATATAAGATTTAACAATTTGATTTAAAAAGAGAAACTTAACAGGTCTTTAAGGCTTACGAGATAGCTTGTATTTATATCACACTTCATTTCGTTCACGCTTCAAACGTGAAATTCTATAGACTTCTATAGAATCTTACTTATAAGTAAGAGTTATGGCGAGGGTGTAGGTAAGTTTTATTGGACGGAAAGTGAGCGAGTCAAAAGTCGTACGCACAGCCGCTTGTAGGTTGCGCGGTAAGGTAGCCGAGGAAACGGCCACCTACTCCCTTATCGTATTCATGAACGTCAGCCTCGCGTGCAACCTTATGCTAATCTTTGCTGGCTGTATAAGCGACTGGCCAGTGTTCGAATCATTCCCTAGTGCCACTCCTTTCGATCCTTCACTGGCCCAGACTGCTTGCAGAATAACCTACTAGCGTTTTCACTAAAATCACCCTTATAACGATCTTCAACCTTTTATTCATTCACCCTGAACGCGGAGAATTATTACACCAAATAATTATGTATTTTTAATTTTCGTGAAAATCATTTTGATAGGGTGTACAAAGACGTGGACGAATGTTTCCATGTAATTATGCGGTCACTTTTAATTATACAGATCTTATCTCGTATAAAGATGATAATTAACGTAGAAATCGAACGAAAGATGTCTATCGTTGAAATTTGTTCTGTACAGGAAACAAATCACGCGACCCCCGCGTTAAAGAACCCTTCTTATTAGGGGCTGCTATTAATGCCCCAGACTTCTCAAGTCCTGACTCATCGACGTTAGACTGCCTTTTGGTATTACATCGATAACCGGCATTTCTTTGTACGTACTTTATATTCTGCGTTAAGGCACGAAATATAAGCTTTTTCAATTCGATAGTAATTGGAGTACTTTAATTTCTTTGATTCTTTGAACAGTTATTTCGTGAAAGCTACCTCTATTTCGCTAAATCATTGCGAAAGAAATGTTTATGGTAATTTGTAATCACCCCGTTAGAAAAACCTTGAAATATAAATGTGCTGCGTAATTATAAGACGGTAATGGGAATATGTGTTAAGGATTAAGCATCGATGTGCATGCTAGGTCAAATTAAAATTTTACTTTTATAGAATAATTTTTACATCAAACATTGCAGTATTTGCACGAATTTAATATTTTCTTCGTTTAAGGCATAGATTCTAATTTCTAAACACGTTTACATGCATCAGTAGTCAGGGACTTTGATGTCAGACTTATTTGGAACCTACTCTACTAGCAGTTTTCTATAAGTAATAGAGAGACGTTATAGGGAAGGACAGAACATATGAAATGAAAAAAAAATACCACAAAATGCGACAAATTAAACTACAAAGGGATCGACTATGCAACCCTCAAGGCAATAACATAAAATTTTAAAATAATTTTCTTATTAACTCCAGCAATGAGAAAATAATTATTGAGCAAGTGTTAAGAATTCTATAGGAGATATTTTGATCAAAAAGACTACCCTCGAAATTCCACCTTTAAAGTACAATGAAAACGTCTAATCAAATCATTCAGTGAAAATCAGTGATCTGGGAGGAAAAGGTGGATGTACTTGAGGAACTCGTAGAGGGGGTGGTCTGTGTGACGTGACGTACACGTGACACAAATGTACAGGGTTCGCATCGTGGGTCGAACGGGACAACCCCTTCACATGCGCGCCGTTCGCGACCACGTGAAGTGGTATGTTCTTCCGCAACCCTCGAACATGTCGGCCCTCGACCACGGTTAACTCTCAACGCGAAGTCAGACCTTTCGTTGAAATAAGCCTGTGACGTAGAATCAATTATCGAAAAAAGTTAATTTATCAATTAAACACAAAGAAGGGATAATGATTACAGAGATTCCATTGCGACGGTAGTGCTGTTATTTGAATGAAAAGTGCGACGTCTTCTTGTATGGTTAATTATGTACAATTAAATGTTGCAAATATTTTGTTCAGTTGACTTTTGTTATTGAAAAATTGCAAAGTGCATCCTCATTTTTAAAAGGAGCTTCCTTCGAGAAAGAAGGAAATGTTGTCACGAAAAGTGTTATCGACTGTATAAATTTTCACGCGGGAAAAATATTTTTGAAAGAGTGTTGAATGAATATAGGTGGATGTTCATGCAAACATGTATTGCTTCATATTTTTGCGATACTGAATGATTCTGCGATCAGGTAAGTTTGGATTGATCAATTTTGAAGTAATTAAACACTGTTTGCACAATGTTGTGTGAATTTAACGCTGGAACAACCTGCGGTCGATGACACTTACTTTTAAATTGAAAATAAAATATAAAAATAAATGAATGAAGTATAAAAAAACTAGCACATGCATTCATTCTTTTGTTTTGATAAAAATCAACATAAAATTGAGCAAAGGCATTTTACTGAACTTTATCAAGGAAAAATTTTAACCTTTTTACAATTCACCCTTTGTTTTGTGTAATTTTTTAAAATAAATGTATGCAATGAATTATATGTAAAGGGTTAAAGTGTTTTAGTTGACGCGTATTGTGTGCTTTCAAGCCAGCGTGGCATGCCAGCACGACATTACGTCTCCCACTAACAAAGATATTTGATCGTTCCACATTCCGTAACACGAAGGGTGTTTGACCGTTTCATAAATATAATTAATAATAAATATTTCCAATGGAAAATCGAACGAGGAAGTATGCAATATATTCAAACGCTAGATGTATCTCTATGGAATATTAAAAAGTCTTAATGGAACACCCTTTGTCACAACCATAAATCATCATCTAGCATGAAAATAGGTTAATTTGCTGTAAGACCCATTGAATCGAAAATTATTAAAGGGTAAATAATTTTTAAATTTCAAAATTTTAATTTACTGTCCTAAAATATATAGAAATGTCGATTTTTTATAAACATGTGATGATATATCTAGCTGCGTGTCAAACGACAGGGGAAAAATCAAATCGATCTATCTGTAGTGGGCAATGACCAGCAGTAATAACATTAAATTCTTATGCACAATGGTCTAGTTCAAGCTCAATCCTCTGTCAAAGGCTACTATCCATATTCACGTATTCCAACAGGAAACGAATAATTTGAAATATTTATTATTACTCAATCGCACGGATAAGAAGCTATTCAAATTTAATCCGTTTTAAATGATTCATAATAATATTCGAAGCATTGTCATTGATATACATATATTTGATAAAAGTTCTTTGAACCCTGTAATAATTACAGCGAATATTTTTCAATTTGCAGGAATTATTCTTGTCCAAGTTAAAAACTTATTCTTTATTTTCGTTTAATTTATGAAGACGATAATTAAACACAATAGTCTTAGGGTAGTTCTCAGGTTGTCCTATAATTTTGTCCAGCAATATAAATGGAAGAAGATTACCGGTAACGATAAAAGTTACGCATACTCTTGTTTATGGGAATAATTATAGTGAAAAAGGCACATAGACTATCGTGATTTCACTGGCACGTGGCAGAGGCATGTCGTAGTGTTAATTACATCGATGGAAGTTCGTGAGGGCGGGTGTGCTTAAAGATTGAATCGTTTCAGCACATTTGAACAATAGGCATAAAGCAAACACGAATAGCAGAGGATTGATGTGATTTTTATTGATTAATAAAAGAATATCAGAAAAGGCTATTAGGTTAACAATTAATCTTAAGTTCTTTTTTTCTTAGTAGAAGAAGAAGAAAAATTTGAATTTTTATTTAATATTATATGTGCTCTTTAGCACTTCGGCTGTTATGTCACTCTATCTGGGTGACGCATGAATTTCTACAGAACGTACTCATCGATTTTATGGGGTAGGATGTTCCTTATCCAATTATAAATGGCTTTACTAACAAGCGACGTTCGATAAGTGACACGTGCTGATTTTTATTCAACATTGCACGATTGTTTATCAAATGAATCGAAGAATTTTATCCCATTTTATTGTTGCAACTTTTGTATTTTAACATATGGACTGCTATGTCATTAATGTTTCATTAATGTAATATAAAAGTTACACATTTTTCCTAATAACACTTATTACTTTTTGATTTTATAAATTCCAGTGTATCTTCATTATATTATAAGCTTCCTTATGACTGAACAAGTTAATTAGGTTTACGATTATTACAAAGAACAATGACTTTAAGAATCTGAACTGTCTACTACATTTTATTTCCTAATAATGGTCACGACCTCCTTTCTTGATCATAAAATCAATATCTACGATTTTATCGAAACTCAGAAACTGATAACAATAGTATTATTATTTTCACTGGGACTATTTTAAAAAACGAAATTTATGCCACCTTGAAAGGTGCTTCAAATGAATTAAATAACTCTGAAGATTAATTTCATTTTTTAAAATAAAACTATGTATTTTTCAAGTACTGATCAATAGAGGTTTCAATTGGTATAACTACCGATACAATTATTATTCGTAAACAGTTAAGAGTTAATTAAATGTGAACCAAGTATGTTACAATGAACTATTTACCCTGATTATCACGAGAAAATTAAAACTGCTGTCGGTAAAAGGAAGGAGTTTGCGCCCTATCACGCGGTATCGAGGAATGACCAGCAGTTCCTCGTAAATAATTACTCATTCGATAAATGGAATGACTGTCAGTCACTTGGGAGAGCTTGAACTCACTAGGCTATCTATGAAATATGTATAAAAGAAACAGAAAAATTCGCGTAACGAGATATCGATCTTTTCATCAACGCAGCAAAATGATCAAATTCCAATACCATTCTTTTTAAATAAAGCAATAAAAAATTGTATTAGAATATTTCAAATAAATTGTTTGGAAAGGATTATGTTTTCTTTGCAGAATGCCCTTTGCAGGAGAATGGTGCAGAATATGGATTTATTTCGGATTCGTTTTCGCGTGGGCAAAGAGTGCTCGTCCACGTTTTGATACATCCACGGACATGGGGTTAGTTCTAATTCCATCGGATGCGGAAGTAGATTCAGTCATTTTTCGACTTCGCGCGACTGATCAAGATGCGGATTTTCCACTTGTCTTCGAAATAACTGGTAACTGTTTGTTCCGTCAATTAGAAATTCTAATACTAACAACGGGTTCAGACAATTCTATAATTGAATATGAAGTAACTTCACACGTTAAGATCATTAATAAATTTATTTTTAATAAATATAAAGCTATATAGTTGAAGCAATTTATAATAAAAACACGATTAAAAGCAATGAGTGCCCTATGACTTTTGAGTGATGGCATATGTACAGTATCAAGCAAATTGGGCTCCCCTAAAGAAAATGGGAATCCAGGAATCCATGAAACCCTATCAGGGGGGCATCACCATTTTCCCTAGGGAAGCCTACCATACTCGCCACTGTACATATGTATATCACGAAGTACTCAAACAAGTGTTACATATTAAATGGAACACAATACTTTGGTTTGTTCAGCTACAATCACACCTGTTGTAAGGATCGACAATCTACCGTGCACGTTATACAACAAAGTGTGTCAAGCTAATGTGATCCTAACTAAACGACTAGTTCCTGGACGCCTCCACGACTTTGCAGTAAGGGTTAGGGACACGAAGGGTGATTCGAATTCGATGCAGGCTACTATTTCTGTTACAAACGCTACCACCCCACGTGATAAAATATTCCCGCACATACCTTCCCTCATAATGGTACCAGAGGTAACTATTTATCGGTTTGATTATAAGCACAATTCCTTATTCTATCAACGGCACCCTCAACGCATCGCTTCCTGTCATTGTAGAATTTGACAGCAATTTAAATTTTAAGTTCAATTTATTATGATCGTATTTACGAATACAGGATACTAAACCAGGCAAAGAATTGGATTATCTTCTGGTCAGAGCAAATCCATGGAGTGGGAAACCTGTTTACATCGAACTTTGGGTTAGTTATTGATTGATGATAAAATTTTAATTAATATCGATAGTTCGGAAATATTGCAATCTGACAATTTGGTTTTAGCAACCGAAAGAACTTTTTACAATAAGACAACGTCAAACGCCTACTCAAACACGTGGAGTAATTACGTTAATCGGAGAACTAGATTTCGAGACTCAGTCAATGTACACTCTCACCATGTATGCCACGGTACGAATGATCGAATTCAATATTTCATAAAGACTCGAGGAATTTCTAAGTAAAATATTCTAATCGTTAGGATCCATATACGGAACCTGGGAAAGATACTAGAAATATTGCAGGTTTAAGCGTAGTTGTGGTCGTGCAAGATGTTCAGGATGTTCCTCCGATATTTACACTAGCACCTCCTTTAACGAGGATTAACAATTCTGTACAACCTGTAAGTTGCTAATACCAGATGTAGGCATTATTTCAAATAATAAGAAATTCATTTTTATCTTGAATAGAAAGTTAATTATTAATTTCATAATTTATTTATCATTATAGTTTTAATTAGTAATAATTAAAAATTTAATTAGTTATTTGAAAATAAGAGAAAACAAATCAAATTTTATTTGAAATAAAAGCTTATTCTAAATAGTAGTGACTTTAAATTAAAAATTATTCATTATTTTTAAATAATTTGATTCCATTCGAGGTTTTTATTCGAAGAAACAATTATTTTTATTTCATCTAAAACAGGTATCAGAAAATTATTTGAAATAATGTCCAAATCTGTTTGAACACCTAATTTGCCACATATGATTAACAATAGCTATTGATACAGAGATTTATGAAAAAAAATATATTTGTATTTCAATTTCAGGGAGATATAATACTACGAGTACATGCAGAAGATGGAGATAAAGGAGTTCCCCGTGAAATTGTGTACGGTCTCGTGTCTGAAAGCAATCCGTTTACCCCGTTCTTCAACATCTCGGAAACAAGTGGTAAGACAATATATCATGATTTTAGAAATAGTAACCGGAAAATTGAAATTATCGAAATAATGTTCCCTCATTTTTCTTTCTTCTTTTCACAAATAATTTAAACTTGTTCTTCACACAATTTTTGTTACATAAAAAAAATAACAACAATAAACGGCATAGATAAAAATTGTAAATTATAAATGAAAGGAAATCTTGATACACTACCATTCGGTGTACAAACGGAAGTCGACGTAAATTAGCGTACAGTGAAACTTACGACTGCTTTAATTGCATTTTATAGCTCTGCTATCACAGAACAAATTATTCACAGCAACACAGATACATACATATACTTGGACACAGGGTGACCCGATTGTTTAAGAATTATTCGATCGATGACTAACACACCAAATTAATTTATCGCTCCTTCGATCTTCCTTCCCGGCGCTAAATCGCCAGGAACATTCCACTTATAGCCAACAGAAGAAGGGAAATTACGTATGCAATTCCAGTGTAATGAAAAATGAACGAAATCGTACGGAAGACGCCTAAGAGAGAATAAACACACTTTTGAATAATAAAACACTACCTCAAAATAGAAATATTTCTTTCTCTTCACTAATAAAATCTCTCCTTCGAATTAAAAATTTTCCAAAATTTTCCAAGGTGCGTTTTACATCCTTGTAAAAAAAAAAAAAAAAATAAAAATAAAGGGAACGGAAGGGTCGTCGAATAAGCGAGGCAATCTTACACGCTTGTTTTCGCCTGATTACAACTCGCACGAACGTGTTATCTGAAGTTGTTGGTCGGTGATCTGATTTTTTCACGGAACCGAAAATGAGTCAGGCAAGGAAGTGGCCAGGGAACTCGATAGAAGCGGTCAGAGTAAAGTCTTTACGGTCTACAACGCGGTATCGATCGTACTTAGGGGTCAGTCTCTGCTTTTCAGGCTGCGATGCTTATCATTTCGTGACACGAAGCATACGACCTCTTCGTGTATGGCTGCGTGTACAGGTACTTGGGATAGAGAAATGGTAAAAAGGAAGGGAACAGGTCCAGAAAGAATAAACGCGATACACGTGTCCAGTTCGAGCTGTATTATTGCCCGGGAACTTTAACGGACAGCCATAACTTTGTCTGCCAGGATAATAAAAGCACGCGATGAAGGAATCCTTAATTCGTTCATTACAGTCACTAAATTTTCATGTATTACGAAAGTGACACTTTGCAAACGCTGTTTTTTTAAACAAGAAATGAATAGGTAAATTAACCCTTTGAACTCGTATGTCATGCTGGACATGACGATACAAATTTGTTACAAAACTTGTATGTCATGCTGGAAATAACAGTATAAATTTTGTTGTAAAACTTAATTTTTTATAAAAAATTAATTTACCGTGTTTGACTTAATACAAGTTGATATGTAAAAATAGTGAAAACAAATTGAGTTCAAGGAGTTAAAGTTAAAAATAGAATGCTATTCGACGATGAAGCATAGAGGAAGTATACTATAATGAATGTTAATAAAAGCAATCCCTTTCGTTCAGCTCTGGTTTGTCGTGTATTACGGAAAATTTCTACCACTGAATATACCAGCTTTCTACGTCATATGTACATAAGTGAGGGAGGTCGTTGACCCATATGTTTTATTCATAATTAAAGTAATTCGCTAGTAGGGGAGCTCAAATGCAATTTGTTTGAACGTATGATTAAAACGACATGGATTTAAAAATTAAGCAGGCATTTTTTTTAAATAACTGATAAGATGGTAATTTGTCCAAGTATGCAGTACTCCTTTAACACTTTGATTACCATGTCACTCTTATATGGATGATACTTAAATTTCCATAGCAAATTATCATCCATATTATTAGGAATTCTTTGACTTATTTTATTAGAAATGTACGTATTAGGCAATTAAAATGATGGATAATAAAAATACCAAAATATTATGAAAATAATAGATTTGTCAAAAAATTTTTAGTAGCTCCCATGTGGCATTTAACTTACTTATTAAAGCTTCAATTATAATTTCAGGAGAAATCAGTCTTGCTAGACCTTTGGAAGAACTTACCCAAATTACGCACGTTGGAGCACCAGTGGTACTTACAGTGGTTGCTGAAGAGATAAGAAGAAGCAGAGAAGAACCTCCAGCCCAAGCAACTGTCGTCGACGTAGGTTTTCTTCTTGGAGAGCCAGGCAACAGTCCGCCATACTTCGAGAGCGATAAGTTGGTACCTGAAACATGAAATAAACAATACCTGATTTATTAACACCTTAATTGGCATAAATCAATCAAATGTTTCATTTCTTCGTTATAGTTATATAGCAACGATTAATGAAAATTTAGAGCCAGGAACGGTAATCAATTTTGGTGAACAGTATTCGACTAGAGTTAAAGACGAAGATATTGGAAAAGCAGGAGTATTTGCATTGAAATTAGAAAATAATAACAGTACTTTTGAGATAATTCCAACAGTTGCAGAACGCAGTGCAGATTTTCTTATCACCGTTCGAGATAACACACTGATTGATTATGAATTATATAAAGTATTATCTTTCAAGGTAAACAAAATTCTTATAGAAAAATCGTTTTTGGCATAAAATGCAAAGAAATGTAATTTTCATTTATTTTTAAATTCAGATTGTAGCTCAAGAAGTTGGTCCAGCTACAAATCTCTCAACGTCAGTTCCAGTTACCATATTTTTAAGGGACATTAATGATAACCCACCAATATTTGAAGAGCAATCATACGAAGTAACGTTATCTGAAAATGTAACAGCAGGATCACGTGTAATTCAAGTAAAAGATAAAGTTTCTCATACCTGTGATTTAAAAGACTGTAAAATTGTAGTCTATTATTTTTTTTTTTACTAATAGGTACACGCTACTGATAAAGATACAGGTGTTTTTGGCAGTATTCGATACACGAGCATAAAAGGAGAAGGAAGCGAAGCGTTCACCATGGATCCCAATACAGGATTAATAACAGTAGCCATGGGATCTTCTTTAGACCGTGAAATTGCACCAAGACTGGTATTATCCGTAGAAGCGCGAGACGAGAATGGAAATGGCAACAGAGGAACTGTTCCTTTAATAATTAATCTACTGGATGTTAATGACAATGCGCCTACATTCGAAAATGATATCTATCAATTCATGTTGAATTCTGATTTAACAAACTTCACGTCTCCAGCTTTTATAAAGGTATATATATTCTTCAAATTTACACAGATAGAAATAAAGTTATTGAATTATTCAATTATTTTGCAGGCTATTGATGCTGACGCCGAGCCACCAAACAACGTGGTCAGATACGAATTAGTTCATGGAAATTATGAAAATAAATTTTATTTAAACGAAACGAGCGGTGAATTAATCCTTCGATCGCCAATTACAAAAATTAGACGAAAGAAGCAAAGTGCTCAAGAGAAGCTTTCGAAAAAGATTGGAAAAGAATTCGTTAAAAGTGAAGAGAAAATCCAGGAGGATAAAGTAGAAGCATTTATTCGTGTAAACAACAATGAATCATTAATGAATACTGGAAACAAGTCTAATTCGAATCTAACTAATAGTGTAATAATGAAAATAATAAAAGAAAGACGAAGAAGAGCTGTTGAAGACGCTTTGTATTCTCTCACTGCCAGGGCTTATGATTTAGGTAAATTAAAAAATTTTGTCTATACCTTTTTAATATTTATGATTGAGGTGAATTAAAAAATTTTTCTTTAAATAAAAGCACCTTAATCATTTGTATAATTTTGAATAGAAAACCAATAATAATCTTTTCAGGTGTTCCACATCTTTCAAGTGTAACGCAAATTCGAATTCTCAGTGGAATCGCCATGGAAGCTCGTATAATGATGTTCGTGGTGCCAGGAGAACGGCCAGATTCAACAAAAACTGCTGAGACTTTGGCAGCCATTACTGGTGGCCGAGTGACTGTATTAGAAACTAGGCCTTATATTCAACAAAATCATACTGGAAGTTCAAACACTTTGCCTGGAGGAGGGAAGAAGTTAGTAACTCATTAATATTTAATATTCATACTGAATAAAAATCAAAATTCATTAATATTTCAATACATATTCGATAAAAGTTAAATTTTAGTAAACGTTTCAGAAGCATCGTTATAGCTCGCGTGGAACAAACGGAACCAGGCACCCCTTTGGTAGACGTAGAAAAAATCCGAGAAACTTTAGCTGCTAATGGCGTAGGGATAATTAATGGCACTGATACGTTAACGAGTACAACAATGATCATAAGTAATATGAAACCACCTGTTGATGGAACAGCACGTAATGATAACAACAACATGCAAACATCTATAATTAACAACACCATTACTAGTATCCAAAGTGAAGAAGTGGTACGTAAAAATATTTCACATCTAATTTAACATTCTTGTAGAAATTAAAGAAATGTTTGCTTGATTTAGACCGTGTACAAAGCAGAGAATAAGTTACTGCTCTGGCTATTGATTATTCTGGGCTTGTTGATGCTTTTGGCCATTGCCATTTTAATTATCTGCTGCATTCATCCTGGGTGCCCATTTTATATGGCACCTAGAAAAAGAAGGGTGCATTCTTCGGAAACGTTGGTCGTGAGAGCTGATGGAAGACCAAAGAGACACCTTCATCGACAACCAGCTGTAGCTGCAGAAGGTAAATACTGTTTTTAGCTGCAGAACGTACCTCAAATTCAATACCATCCATCGATCACAAGAAATCCCATGAGAATAACACAATCTGATTGGTCGCACCTCAATTCAGCTCACAGGTATTTACGATCGTGACGTATAATTGGTCGAAGAGGTAACATCTACTAATTAGGCTCATTTAAAATTAGGAGGTCAGCCGATGTGTGCGTCCTCTTATTCCTGTACCATTCCTCGAGACTTATGATCGGTGGCATTTTAATCTAAATTCCTCCCACTAAAAGCGCTATGATAGAATTCCAATTGTAGTTGGTACAACAGGAAGTGACACGAAAATGGTAAGGGGGTGATGCACCCCCTGAACTTAGGAAAATTGTCCCTCAAAGAGAAGATGGAAAATTTACAAGCATCTAATATTAATGTTCCAGTATCCTGGAATGGAAGAAAACAAGCATGGAGTGCCGATCCCACAAGAAGAAACTGGCAGTTCAATAAAAGAAACGTAAAGAATTGTTCGCTACCTGGGGATGTTGCTTATGTATCTCGTCAACCGAATGACGTTCAAATGAACGTCGAAGCTCATAGATTAACAGAAGATCCTCCTTATGATCATTCAAGGAGAAGCAGAATGGATGAACAAGAAAGATTATATATGGAAGATATTGATGGTCAGAAAGGTAGAGCTTATGATGCTGTTGAAATGGATTCCTTACAGCGACACGAAATGGACAGAGGTTCGGATGTTCAACGACATGCTTATAGGCAAAGGTAGGTAAGCTATCGTTTTACAACAGTATTAATATTTCTTCATATAGCTATCCATATTCATTAAAATGAAAAAATGACAATAGTTAAGGGGATTTTTTCTGGGTTTATAATTTATACATTTTAAAGCAGAGGTGACGAACTGATGGTTCGTGTCCTTATTTTCTTGATCCGTACCGAGTTAAGAGAACAACTACATCGATTATCACTTCGTCAGATTGCTTTCTCGCTGGCTCTTCCTCTCTGAGTCTGTTGATTCCTCTCAGAAGCACATTGTACACCTAAGTACCGTTCACGTCTGCTAAGTTGAGACTCAAAACGGCAAAGGAGCAAGGGGGGTCGGCTGTCTAGTTTTACACAAGCCTAATTAGTATTTAGATAATGTGATCGCTTCAGAAAAAATAATACCCTGCGGCCGAAAGTAGGCATGACCAATTAGAACCATATTCAACTTAGCAAATACGAACAGTATTCTATACTCTATTGAAAATTAATTTTCGTAGCGGGAAATTCGGTGAAAGTAGAAGAGTAGCTAGTGTGACCCACAACGGAAAAGAAGTTCGTCACCTTAGAATTCTCTTAGAACACCTCGTCACTTTAAAACAGTATTTCCAAATAACTATTACTATTTAAAATTTTCTTTAAAAAATCTCGATTTTCGTTTGTACCCAACGCTAGATACATGGAACCAAGTATGAACGAAGAAACGTCTGTAAGAGAGCAACACTTCTATCGCGAGGGAAACGCCGAAGTCCTGCGCCTGGTGACCAGAGGACAAGTGGAAGACACGTCGAGTCACCTTCACCATCCTCACCACCATCGTTCCACGACTTTGATCGTGGATGGCAAAGACATCATCCTGCAAAGGTTCATAGAGGATCAAAAATCGAGGCACGAGTTGTCGGTGCAGGACATCGAAGCAGCTCGTAGCATGGAGTCTCATCAGAGATCCAAAGAGATGTTCCAGCAACAAGCACCAGAGATAATCTTGATACCGGACAAGTTAGACCTGGGACACAGGCAGCACGTCGAGGAGATAGGACCAAACGTTCAAAGATTGGTCATCGATCACGGTGATTACGAGAAGGAATCACAGATCAGAGATGCTATCAAACAAGAGAGACAAGGAACCGATGCAACTGTGGCTCCAATGGCAGAAAGACCTCCAATTATCGACAAAGATACTCAAGCGAAGAGTCAGTATCCTTTTCACGATCTGGAATTAGCTAGACAAAACGCTTTATTGACTCGATTGTTATTAGAAAGAGAAAATAAACGACCAGGAGGTGGAGGAGTGGATTCGACGAGTTACCTGGAGACTCAGAGTCTTCCTGGACAGGTAGCAATTGCTACTCAAACCGACAGAACGGCGGCTACTCAAACGGAGCGTCAGGTGAGAAGCAGAAGCGACAACGACGAATCCGACGAGGAATCGCGGCACAGAAAGAAAATGAAGTCTAGAAAGAAGTACGGCGAAGGAGAGTGGAGAAGATCTCGAACATTGTGGATGAAATCGCCGATCGAAGAAGAAGGTAGTCCTTGCTTCGACAAACGACTGAGCATTTTGAGGAAAAAGGTGAAGGAGGTGAAGGAAGGTAAGAAGATCTCCTTGGAACCGGAGGTTCTTCGGGAGATTTCCGATTCGCTCGATGGGAATGGCAGCTCCTGCAAAGCGGAGGAGGATGAATCGACTAAGACTTATAGAAAATCCACGGAACAAACGAGTATTAGTTACAAAATATTAAATGAAAAGAAGGACGATTCGCAGTCTTCTGAGGAGGCTCGTAAGCGAGAGAAGAGTTGCGAGGATGTGACCGACGATCAGAAAATGAATATCACCGAGTCCACTTCCTCGCCGGAGATAAAGATTCAGCGCGAGAGGACGGAGGATAAGAGTCCGCGGAAAGAAGGGAAATCGAAGTCACAGAAGAAAGCTGATAGCATGATCAAGCCGAGCTTCAGGATCCTCGAGAAGGAATTCACAATGTTGACGAAGAAACTGAGCAAACTCGGTGACAAAAGATTGCAGGGAAGCACGAGCGACAGCACGAGTCAGGAGAAGTTGGAACCGTGTTCGAAGAAGGAGCCGGATCACAAAAGTTTGAGGAAAACTGATAACTCTCAGAAACAGACGATCGAAACTGGCCCGAGCGTATCGAGGACCGAGCAGAAAGCGAAACAGAAGAAGGATGCTGCCATAGCGAAGACGAAACAGAAGCTCAAGTACCAGCAGACTCACGTGATGAGCACCGGAAGTTCCGAGTACGATGATGCTCTGGACAAATCGAAGAGAGTAAGCGGAACTTGCCAGGAAACGAAACAGAAACATCCGATTCATGGGAAATTGAAACGCCAGCCTGCGATTGACCGGCGAGAGACAAAAAAGCAAACGGAGCAGGAAACTGGAAAGCGAAAGCACAGTCCTCCGAGAGGAACTCCGAAGATTGAGCGGAAAGCTGAGAAGAGATTAACGCGCGCGCCGAAATTGTCAGTTGTATCTCATAAAGGGCATGTAAGTGAAGGGACGAGCACCAGTACCGAGGATAAGAAAGATGCGTTTAATTTTTCAGATTTTAAGAAGAAAAGCAGTAGCCTTTCGTCGGACAAAGATTACAGGAGGGTGGTTAAGGATGATGAGAGAAAGGGTGGGAAGAAGGCGGTTCAGAGATTCAGCGATGACTTTGTCGAAGAATCTGAGGCGGCAACTAAACAAGATGCGAAAAGTGTGAAAATAGAAACAATTTCTAGCAAGGAAGAGTCCAGTGTTGATAAAATGAAGCAATTGATAAAAAGTGGATTAGGATATGGAGAACTTTTGGTTGAAAAGCTGAAGAAAAGTGAACAACCACCGTCTACTGAAGAAATGAATAAAACTCCTGTGGATGATAAGCAGCAATCGATTAAGGATCATGTGATTGATGATAGTATTCAAATGAAAAAAGAAGAAATAATTGAAATTAAGGATACTGCAGCAGGTGAACAACCTGAGGATCATCCAACATCTCAAATTGAATCAACAATAAAAGAATCAGAGAGACAAATAGTAGATGTTAAAGATGATACAAAACCGAGTGAAAAAGATGATTCATTCGAAGGAGAAATGAAAACAGTGAAAGAAGAACATGAAGATAAAATAATAGAAGATTCATCAAAGGACACTATAAAAGAAGAATTAGAAAAATTTAAAAAAAATGAAGGAGAACATAAAAGTGACTCTGTCAAGGATACAGCAGAAGTAGAAGATAAAGTAGAAAAATGTAAAGAAGAATATAAATTATTAGATGATACTAAAAAGCATACAGATAAAATTGAAGATGTACAGGCAGAAAAAGATGAAGGAACTAAGAAACTGGATGCTGCACATGAACATCTGAAAGAGAGAGTGGAAAGGCTGTTTGAAGATCATGAAAAAGAAATTGGAGACTTAGATGCCGAGCATAAAATTAAAGAAATTTTTGTAAAACCAAGTGAAATGAGTAGCTCGTTAGATGACACTCATAAGGATGTAGAAAGCAAACAACATATTGAAGAAAAAATTAATGTAAAAGAAAAAGAAAAAGATGTTGAAATACAAGGTAATAGCAAAGCAGATCTAATACAAAAACCTGAGGAAGTAATTGAATACTATATAGTTGAATCACCAAAAAGTGAGATATACAGCATGGAAAAGGAATTATCAGATAAATCAGAAAAATATGAAAAAGAAGAAAAATTATGTGAAACTGATAAACAAAAAGAAGAACACGTAGAATATGCAGATATGGATGAAAAACCTGTAATTACAGAAGAAGAAGAAGAAGTAATAAAAATTATATCAACTGGAGATGGAAAAGAAGAGATTTGTTTAGATACTTTCAAAGACGAAGAAATTAGTGATTCAATCAAAACTGATGATCAACAAAGTGAAAAGAGTGATTTTTTAGATAAAGAAAAAATAGAAAAAATTAAGAAGGAAAGTGATGTATTTATAGAAGATCTTTCTTCAGTTGAAGATAAAAGCACTGATAAAGAAAGGGAAGAAGATACAGTAAAAAGTAAATCAATGGATCATACAATTCTTGAACAAGAAACTACTTATCCTGATAAGGACGAAATTTCTGACGAAGGACAAAAAGTTTCTACAGAAGTAGCAATTGATCTAATTAACAAAGAAGATGTTAGTTCTCTAAAGAAAGAAGAAACTTTCGATAGAGAACCAGAAACAGTTACAAAAACTGAAATGGGAGATCATCAAATAAAAGATAAAGAAAATGCTTTTCAGATTGTAGAAGAGAAAGCTATTGATAGTACTTCTTTTGACAAAGAAACAGCTTCTGATGAAAAGGAAGCTTTCACAGGAATCGATAAAACTGCTGATCAGGAAATTAGTGAGACAGACAGTATTTTCTTTGATGAGGAAAAAGAAAAACATCCTGAGGAAACAAAGGAAGGTATTACAAAAGATATAATTCAAGATAATCAGATCACTGAAGAAAATGAAATAAAAGACAAGTATCATGACCAGCAGGAAGAAATTACTTCCAGAAAGGATACAATAAAAGATGATCAAATCACAGAAAAAGATTTGTCTATACCTGTGGATGAAATAAAGGAAAAATACCATGATGAACAAAAGGAAGTTATTATAGAAACAAAGACAATAGATGATAGTCAAATCAGTAAAGAAGAGTTAGAAATTTCAAAAAGCATGAAAATCGAAGAACTTGATTCAAAGGTTGAAGAAAAGGCTGTTCTTTCAGAGGTACAATATGATAAATTAAACATAGATGAAAATATCAATGATCAAGAAACAAATGGTGATTCAAAAACGCCTATTGTTGAAGAACTAAATCTTCACGAGACTGTTCCAAGCAATCTTCCTGTTTCTATTATACAAGATGTGAAAAAGGAAACAATAGCAGAGGTATCTTTAGAAGATGATCAAACGACTGAGGAAAAAAGTGCTTTTCCAGAGATGTTTAAAGGTGTACATTCGCTAGTTGATACATTAGCAACTAAAGGAGAATTAATACCTACAGAAACTGAAAGTGAAATTAAGGAAGTTGCATCTCATCAAGACGATGCAGAAACTTCCAAATCCGAAGCTTCTCTTTCAAAACTCGACGGCGAATCTTTCAAGCACACAGAAGAAAATAGAAGAAATATCGAAGAAACACGGGAAGAAATGATGAAAAGAAAATTAATGATGCCTGCAGAAGATAAAACAGAGAGTACATCAGAGGATACTATCAAAGAGGATTTAACAGTTGACGTAATTAAAAAGTCCAAAGCAGAGGGATTAAGTGATAGCAAACAAATCGTTGAATTATCAGCAGATGAAGCAGCGATATTAAAAAAGCTTAATGAGAATAAAGAACCTGTAGAATCTTTGGATGATAAATTATCGTCGCCAATAAAAATGGAAAAAATGATGGATCAACCGGATGTCGCTGAGGAATCACTTCAAAGCACGGAATCCGAAATAGTTCCAAAAAGTGGGACAGTAGATGACAAAGTGGAGGAAAATACTAAAAAGGAAGAGGAATTGCACGAGCTACCGCTAAGTTTCCAGGAAACTTCTTCCCCAGGGTCGAAGGAAGCGTCAAAAGAAAAGTTTCTATTAGATCCCATTGCCTCGGAAATTCTAACGGATTCGAAAAAAATAGTCGAACCTGAGGAACAGTTGAAATTAGTCAGCGAGCAAGTTGAACCGCGAGAAGATTCCCAACAATCTGTTGGGAAACAAATTTCCAGTGCAAATGAAGACGAAACTCAGCCACTTCCGGAAGAGCAGCCGCGTATAACCATGATTTCTCAAGATGAAGAAAGCAAACAAGATGCGGAGGGAACGTTGCTTTCGAAAGAGAGTATGATGGTGGGAAGAGAGCTGAAGGATGAGGCTGTTGGAGAACGATACGCAGACGTAAGCCTACCACTTTTTACGAGTATAATAGATACAATGGACGATTCGGATGATAGTGATTCATCCAGTGATATTTCCAGGAAAACCACGCTGACCACCAGACCGTATCAGACCCCACGGCATCGCGCACGACAGTCCCCCGAGAAAGAAAGCGCTCGAACTGAAGTACACGACATCGAAGACGAAGAGAAAGTGTTAATAGTGGAGCTGGAAGATGAAGACACCGGAGTTTCGAAAGAGATTACAATGTTTGAAAAAAGTGAAGAACAGTCTAAAGATGAGGCCACTGTACTGAATGAGGAAAATAGGACAACTGTGAAAGTAGAGACAGCTTCTGGTTATACAAAAATAGCAAGCAACGTCGAAGAAGAAAATGTACAAAAGAAGAAACAATCAGAATCAAAATCTATTTCAACGTTCGAGGAGTTCACCTCGAAACATACAAAAGAAACGAAATCAAAATCTCACGAAACATCATCAATTCGTAAGCATTTGAAAACTGAGCTGACGAAAAGTGACGATAAAAGAATGAAAGATACGGAAAGGAAGAAAGCTCCTTTTCGAGGGAAGAAGAAAAGTTCTTCGGAGGAATCGTCCGAAGAGAAAGCATTTTATTTTCAAGATGCAACGAAATTTCGTAAGAAACCTCCGGACAAGCAATCGGTGAAGAAAGAGAGCCCTCGGGTGAGATCAAGAAAGATGGATGAAGACCAACGGAGAAAGCAATACGCTTTGAGATTGAGGGGAGAAAAGGAGAAGAAATCGGCCGGTGGTGAGAAACATTCGACTCCTCCAAAAACAGGTGAAATAGACACGAGCAAAGCGCAGCCTAAATACATGGCTTGGTACAAGAAGAACCGCGAAGAAATGGAGAAGAAAAGGGCTGAATTAATAGCGACTGATGAAGAGGATCAGCTTCCTCGATGGTTAAGAAGGAGCATGAAGAATCAAAAATCGGATAAAGATAATAAAAGGACTTCCACTCACAAAGTTGCTGATGCAACTCCGAGGACGAAGCAAAAAGTGAAACCTCTTGTGAACGTTGAGTCTGAACAATTGAAAGCCATTGTTCGTCAAGGAAGGAAATTAAGGCGAGCCGAAGGTGGGAAAAACGAAGATCCACCTGTTCAGATATTCGCGACGACGCCACCTGCAGCTCCACAAGGTGGCAAACATCATTTGGTGCAGCATTCTGAATACAAATACGAAAAAGTTCCACCGCCCTTTTACCTCCATCCTCCACCGGTTCCTCATCCATCGCCCCAGTTATCGCCCCAACATTTTGAAATTCCACCGACGATGGAACCTTCTCAAACGGAGGCTGATTTCGATTCTGGAATAGCGATATCGTTACAGGGTGGTAACAGGCTACGACATCAACAACTTTTGGAGAAGAAAAGTGTTTTCGACATCGCGTACAGCGAAGCAGCTCCTTCGCAACTGCGCTCTGACAGTACCACTCCTCCGTCTTGAATTGATAAAATTATATTCGAACTATTACACACTCAGATTTCTAAACGAGATTAATGATTTATTAAAATTTTCTGAATTATTATACTTGGACGTGAAAGGAAGAAATTACATTACGCACAAAATGCAGGGTTAATTATACCTTAATGATGGGGATAAGAGATCGTAGACGTCACGTTATAGAATTTACACTTTGGTAGTATGATAAATAAAATGGATATATGGGACAAAGTTGAAAGAACTTTACTAGTTTCTTCTTTATGTTGAAAAAATGAATAATGAATCTCTTCTGTAAGAACAAATACTGTTTACACAATTTATAATAATGAATGTAGGTTTCTTATAATTGCCTCCGTCCAAAGGAAAAGTCAACATGATGACCAATTTTATATTATGATTGTTATCTCAATATTATGATGTTTATAATTATCTTGTAAATATATATGTATAAACCCAACAACATGCTTTTTATTTACACACCTAATTTTAGCAATCTTGTCATAGTCATAGGAACATCCTAAATCTGAGCAAAGTAGGTTTCCTTAGGAAAAATTCTCAAAATTCTAATTTTGACGACATTAATACGGAACCCCGGAATTAGAGTAAACCTAAGGGGGAGGTTCGGAAAAACCGGAAATCCGGAAAAGTCTGCAGGGGGAGGATATCGCCATCTTCCCTGAGGAACCTACCATACCCAATATTGCACATTGCTGAAATTCTTATCAAATGTTATAATTACTTAATTTGTACAACAGCAGAAAAGTACATATATCGTTTCATTGCCAAGTAATTAATTTATTAATCAAAACATATTGTGCAACTTTTCTTATTATATGTTCTTTTAATTTTTTATCAGTACGTGCTTCACAAGTTTTATTAAATTTTTTAATTATTGAAGCAATGTGTTCTCGTATGATTGAATAAAAGAATTTCTAAGTTAGATTGATTTTAATTATTGAAGCCGTTAAAATATTTACTTTCAGATCGTTTCACTATCGACGTGACTGTGATAATTATATTCACATCGGCTACGTCAGAACGATCTTCTGTCGTTCCTGTTATTCTGTTACAAAAATATCTTTCATTCCGATTTTACGAGCTCTGTTATCTCCTGCCAAGCGGTTTTATCTGCACCTAACATAACACGAAAAATTGAAAGATAAGCACGGTTATCAAATACCAATAAAATGAAATATGTGCAATTTCTTTCCTACCTTGGAAACAGTTCATAATTATGTTCAAATATTTTCAAAATGTACATAATAAAATATAAAATTACAATCATCTTTGTCGTAACCCTTAATCATCCCTAGACAAAATTATTTCATGTATGTAAAGTATGTGAATTTTCAGTTTTATAATAACATAATATCAATACTGATAAGCTGAATAAACATCTAAATAAACAATTACTATTAACAATTATTATTTTTTGTGTGTTTTTCTTCGTTTTTAATAATATAAAATGAAATTTGCATAGGGTGAAATTTCATCCATGATCGATTTTTGATTTAGAATTATTAAATTTATTACTTTTTAAATTATTGAAAGATGCTTTAAAAATGCGTAGGAAGATCAACGTGATCGACTGTGATAATACAGAACAGAAATGACGTGTGCCTGATGAAACGTGGTAGACACAAAGCATGTGGAACTCGCCCAAGATGACGTAACAAAAATTTTCATGACGTGCTTCTATGACACACACGACGTCACAGATGCAACTAACCTACCGTAATCGAGAACATAATGGTGCATCAAACATAACCGAAGACCGGTAAATCTTAGGATTGGGAAAACAGAAAGTACGCGTTGGTCGGTCGACCTCGAATCGTTGACGCGCGAAAAACGCAACGGAGATGACCAGAACGCGATACGAGAATAATTTTAGCAAATGCTACAACAGACCTCAGTATTATCGAACAATTAATAATTTAACTAAAAATGAAAATAATTTTTTAATTTTCTTTATAATATACACTTTGAATAATTTTTCAGGTGTTGTCAATTTTAAGTAACTAACTTTAAACCCTTAAATTATTAATAATTAATATAATATATTCAAAATAGTATTTTCCTTTTAATAGTATTTTTCCTTTTAATTATTTGAATATATGTAATTGATGGTATCAATCACTGATAACCTATTAATATTAATATCTTCAAAATTAGAATGTTGAGAATTTTCATTTTTGCATTTAATTTTTTAGGCATTATTTAAATATTTAAATTTGTAATTCAAACATAATGCATAATAATTCGGGAATAATCAAACGAATAATAGAACCTCTGTTTTCAATATGGCCCTTCTTCCTAGAGATCCTAGAATGCTCGCAGGTGTACGTAACAATAGAAGTAGAAGAAAGTGAAGAGAAAGAGAAAGAAGTTTTAGTAGGATATTATATGGTACAGTTGGTAAACTTCATAGAATATTTGTTGTATTCTACATTTTATAGATGCTGCTAATTTTGTGATAATAACTGTTAGCATTATATTAAGAAGAAAAAGGAAGAGAAATGATTTTAAATACCAATTAAATTATAATTTAATTTATATTTTACTGGTATTCTGTTACTATCAAAACATCAAAATAAATTTATCATATATATGTAATCTGGCACCAATAACAATAATTTGTTACTAAAGATATGCAATAAAATCGAGAGTAATTAAAACGATACAAGTTTAATTCCTTCAGATATTAAATAGATTTCTATGAAATTATGCTACCGATTTGTTAGGTACCAAAGGCGATGAAATATAAAACATTTATACATAAATAAAATAACTGCAAAAAGTAAATAATTTATCACTTAATCAGTCACAAATGATAATGTTTCATTGTGACGTATTCTTTAATCATTAAATGATAAAAAAAATGATATTATTACTACAGCATTTTTCAATGCATAAATAAATTACTTAACAACAATTTATTGTGAATTTTACATTTTATAAATATTGCAATATTATTTATGCAAAATACATATTATAATATGTAACGAATCAGATAATTCTAATTATATTTCCATGCAGTAATTTAATTATGTATACACATTTATAACAATGTTATAAAAATTGTTCTGCTTTTACTTGTGGAAAATATCAAGAGCAAAATATACATGTAACAGACTGTACAGGGTAGAATTTTGCAACTTACAAGTTGTTGCAAATTTCGTAACAATAAACAATCACCGTAGGCCTACGACTGTTAGGGATTTGCATGAATCGTTATCCAGCACCTTCTCTAATTTCCCCGCGATTCGCGCTCGACGGAAATATTGAATACCACGGAAAGTATCAGCTTTTAAACAATAGCTAAATGTTAATTGTTGTTAATAAAGAATACACATGTTGCTGATGCAACGGCGAACAGAGCTGTGGAAGAGGCTGCACCTGTAACACCAGTACACGAAACACATATACACCTGAAACCTTTGACCTTTTCATCGACGCCGGCCCTACCCCTCTCCTCGCAACTACCCCCTTTCCCTATCCCTTTCCCTTCGCCAATTGCAATTCGATGAAAATGTTGCACTGCGCGCGGTGGTCCGCCGTGGAAATCGAATTTTACCTTCTCGAGCCAGGAAGAACCCCTTGGCTATTCACTGGCTGGATGATTCTACTTTTCGAAGTAGAATAAAAGTACAAAGATTCACGCGTTGATTGCTACAATAAAAACAGTAATATCTAGTAAAACACGCCGTAAAATGGATCATTAACGCGTTAATTACTACAATGAAAATGGATATTTATTGTAAGTATATTGAAGCTCTAATTTCAAATTTCAAGCTCTCTCACATTTAACGTTATTATTACACCTGGCATAGTTACGTCTAACACTATTTCAAATGAGATTTCAGGGTGTAAATCGTGTTACGGGAAGCCTCAAGGGATGGTAAATGTAGCAGTGTTAAATGTAATAATCTAAGCCACAACACCCTAATTCAAGGTTGTATTCTCATAAATTAATTTAAAATCAAATTAATATTAATTAAATCTAAAAAAGAGGAAGTAGTATCGATGTCATGAAAAAAATATTTTAAGTATTCTCATAAATTAATTTATAAGAAATTGTGTCTTTAGTAACAAATTATCGTATGGTGCTAGAGTGCATATATGTAATAAATTTATTTTCACGTAAAGTGGTTGATAAGATTTATTGATAATAACAGAATACCAACAAAATATAAATTAAATTATAATTTAATTGGCATTTAAATTTATTCTCAAACGTACAGAACAGCAGCAGAAAAACAAAGGAAAAGCAATAAATAATATATAAAAATTGTCCAATGAATCTAACCTTAAGAAACGAAAAGGTTTGGTACCAGAAACAGAAACGTCTCATGGCACCCAGTACGTCTAGATGCGTCCCTGGTCCACGTTATATCTAACCTGTGTATGTATGTATATATATGTATATCGATAATTTGCAACGAGAAGGGCGCGTTGCCTAGATGTTTTCGCATCGCGAAATCTACAACCCCTTGCGCACCAGTCGAGATTGGCTCGGGCATCAATAGCCATCAATCATCTCAAAATTTCGGCAACGCGCTGGACAACACGAGCGGCAGGGTACCATCACCAAAGTAGAGTTCTCCGGGACCACACGGTGAGGAGAGATGAGGACGAAGGAGGAGAAGGGTCAGGGAGGAGGGACCAGGAGGGAAACGTTCAATACCTCCGAAAACGTGGTCCTACCGAGATATACCTCCACGTAAATTCGGTAACTTCACCGTAATGCTCGTACTCGTTGGTACGCATAAGCGCATATTAACCCCTCGAATCGATAATGAACTGATGACAGGCGGTAATTAATTAAAATGTATTCAATAAATTTCTAATTTTAATTATTTATAAAAAATCCATAAAAAGAAAACTATTTGTCCGATTAATTGCAAATTGTTAGGAAGAAAAATACAAATCAAAAGAAGGGATGTAAGTAGTATTGATGGAGAAAATGTTGGAACCCTTTATAAGGGTTGGAACCTTTCATAAATGCTACTCTAACAAGTGTTGATATTTAAGTAATCAAAACTTTATGAAATATGTACTTGCATACTAGACACAATTTCTATTTCAAAGCCTTCACAGGCCAAAGTGATTAACTTCACTTTTTGAATCTGTTAATATTTCAGTGCCATAGCACTCAATTAATGCTTAATTTTTTATATGTATTTTATCAATTTCTTTATTTCCTTTTTTTTTGGAGTTAATCGATTTGGTAAACGAGCGGCTCAACTGTACTTCAAAGTTAGAATTGAAAACGCGTCTAAAAGAAGAGCAACGACACCCCCAACACTATTGAAATTATACATTGGTATTATTGACAAAATATTTATTTCCTATAAAATTCTCCAATAATTTTGTGATGTGAAAATGCGACATTCTTGTATCTAAAACTTTGAAACGTTGAAATATGAAATTACAAAGAGCAAAGATTCCACGAAGCTCGCAGTCACTAGTGTGTTAACATTGAAATACCTTAATCCATGCATCCTAAGCGATTGAATTACAATGTCTATCAAGATGAACTGACATAATCATAGCCATAGCCATGCGCATTGAATTAGAATAATTGACGTCCCTAATATACGTATCTCATTGGCTGAAATACGCGGAGACCTTCTCAAATTCATGATATTCTATTAAGAAGACGACAGGCCGCAGATGACTCGCGCAGTTGGCGCGCATAAGAACGCGAACCAACCAGTGCTGGCTCGTCATTTTACGCAATTGCAATAATTATACGTAACAGGGCTATTAATTGTGTATTTGTGTACTTGATGCATTCGAGACACCTGGGTATTTAATACCTGTGTGATATTCAGGTAAATAAAAATGATTCGAGTATCTACAAGATATGAGATATTCGGGAATCTTCACCTTGAAGGTGATTGTTTTTCGAACATTTTCAACAAATATCACATACAATGATATTTATTATCCACACGTTACGATTGTGTCATATTGCCTTTCAATCAGAATAAAAAATGTAAACTGTCAATGTTCTCTGCACGAGTATTTTTTTTTTTTTAATAAATTTTCTATAATTTATCATTTTCTCATTCGATTTCATTGTCTTTATCATTCATTCATGTTTTTAATTCAATTTACGTCTCCATTTATATCTGACTCATGCATACCATCGACCCGGTAAATGCGGCTCAATAGGTTACCAGCAACTTCAGCGGTGGGGCAGCAAAGAGGATGCCATCCGCCTACAACCGTATAAGGAGCCCGCGCTTTTATCCGGAGAACATGAAATACGAGTAGGCTACGCGTTACTAACTCACTGTCTTGTTAGCCTGTTACTGCAGCCACGTGTTTCGTCGAGGAACGTCAATCTACGAACGTAAACGATCTCCACACGTTTCACGAAAGCCTGATACTTGGAAGTGACGATTAGAACGCACGTGGCCACCTTAGCGGAATATCGATACCTACGTTTGACTTTTACATGTTGAATGTCGCGAGAGCCGTAGGAAACTCACACCACAAATTAGATATACTTATGTATTTGAATAATTAGAAGAAAAATAATAGAAAAATATTATTTTGAATAGTAATATCATTTTATAGAATATAATGTAAAAAATTAAATGGCTTGATTTAAAAAATGTAAAATGACCTTAGGTTTTTGACTCATTATAGTAAAGCAGAACTAAAATAGAAAATTTTAAAATAAACAATATAAACTACAGAATAAATGTTGTCAATGGTATTAATATTTATTGGCAACCCACTTATACCAATTTCAAGTTGTCATTTAGGAGAAATTTGAACAATACTAATAACGTTTTGATTTTCAATAAACCATCTCATTAAATATTTTAAATATTAATAATCCATCAGTCTATTCTGTAATATGGTATAATAATATTAACGATACTGAAATATTGATCGTCTACTGCCACTATTTCAAATGGGGAAAATAATACAGTTATATGCGGAGTTACTCACCTTCCTGCAACAATATGGGAGCCTGGTGATCAATCCGCGGCTCGCGGAGTCCTTGCGGCGACACTACGCATCGTTTCACGGACGTAGTCGCGGTTCCGTCGTCGAAGGTGCACGGAAAAAGCCAAAGGACTGGTCTTCGGCCACGATTATGTTTCGATACACGCGTATACGTATCGTTGACACTCGCCAAGACTCCTCACCTGCCCATCAAAAGACGTAAAGTCATCCACATTGGCCAACCATGGAACCGGCTAACATGTAACAAAGAAGGTTACCGCTTCAGTCGTACGGTCCGACTCGCGCCTCTTGCGCCCTCTTGTACGCCTGATAGTTACTTGGCGAAATGTGGACGCCTTTCGGGAACTGTTTTTCTTGGCACCCTGAAGTGTACCCCGGGTGCGTCCAATTATTTACCTGTAAGGGCATATTGGGTGACGAAGGAGATCATGCAGCGTGGTATACCTCGTCACTGACACTGGAACTTCAAGTCCATCGAATCTGTTTTATCGACGATAACGTCGATAAGTTGATTTCCTTCTACTTTATCAATAGATAATTATTAATTATAATTCCTAAGGTTCTTAATTGTCCTGTTGCATTAATATTAAAACAATTCTCTTCACTCTATTTTTATTTACTTGAAGAGTAAAATGTTATAAACAGTTGAATCATCTTTATTTAAAAAGAAAAGAAATAAAATATGAAATGCTATATAAAAGAAAGTGAACAATGTTATTAAAAATTAGAAATGAAACTGGTGTTTAAAAGAGTAAAATTGTATCTTCCATTAATCTTCATCGTCGCTAATTATCATGCGAGACGTTCTTTGTTGAGTAGGTTGTTTTTCAGCGGATTCTTCTTCATCATCGCTAATTATCATTCTGGTACGTTTCTGTTCAGTATCCTGAACAGATGGTTCAGTTTCTTCGTCGCTATCCAGTAAGCGACGTTTCTTTACCGTTTCATTTTCTTTGTCCGAACTATCCGATCGATTTCTCTTTCCCTCATCTGGTACAAGTTTTTATTCAATAAACACATTTAAAATGACATCCGACAATTTTTACTTTGTTTAAACATATTCTTTTCTTTACTTACCTTCAGTATCGTGGACATTTCTCTCATTTTCCAGTTCAGAATCAGAAGAGTCGATAAGTAGTTTAGCACGACCACCAGCTTTTCTTTCCTCTGTACGTGGTTTTTCTGTAATTTCTGAATTTATGTCAACTAAATCAATCGTTCAGATTGTTACAATTAAAATTAAACAAAAAAAACATTTGTTAATCAATTTTCGGTGATCAAAGAGTTTAACCAGTTACATCAATAGAGGGCACGTAACTGAAAGTCTAAAATGTAAATGCGTACCAACAGTCTGCGAACTTCTCGTTTCCGGTTTTTCAACTTCAATATTGATCTGTTCCGTCGATTTTGAAGAAATTTTACTTTTCGATGTAATCGATTCGAAATCTACATCGGATTCAGAATCAGGCTGGCGAGAAGTGGATGGTTCTGGTTCGGCTAAAATGTACATATAAGTCTTAGTAATTTTGGTAATTAAAAAATAATTAATAAGAATTACATACCTGTAGATTTGAAATATTTTCTAATATTTTCTAAAACATCGACATCATCGTCACTTTCATTATTTCTATCGCTATCAATTTCCCCCGCGGTTGAAGCTGCTCTGGGTTCTAATTATAAAAGTATTAAATTTTAGATCAATTTATAATTGTTTTAAACATTGCTTCATATATAATTATGTATAATATTAATATTATTTTTCTATAACAATAAATCCTGAATTCTTAAAAAAGTATCTCACTGTTCCATTAATAATCTAGTGGGGTATGTTTGACCCTTGATCGTCATCAAATTACTGATTGAGAAGGTGCAAATACTTATGCAACTCACTGTATGCATTATATTACCTTCAACAACGAAGTTCCCTGCGAGTGCAGCGTCGATAAGGTTGCAGTGCTTCTGAATCGTCGAATTAAGGATATTAGATGGTATACGCCAATAAGATTCCTGTTCATCAGCAGGAGGTGTGAATCCCATGGCTCGAATAAGCTTTTGAAAGCTCGGTGAATCCATCGCTGCCGCCGAATAATCTGTCAATGGGACTAAAGGGATACCTTCGGAGCTTTCCTCGTCTCGATCGTCTAGGACATCCTGCAGGGATTCCTTGATCCATTCTAGTGCTTCGTTCATATCTGCTTATCAAAAGATATCGTTATACCTCTGCATAAAATTTTTCATATTAATCGTAAAGTATTATACATTTTTTAAATTTGATGTAGCAACAATTAGTGCAGTGCCAAAATTATCATAGTTTTCCCTATTATAAAAATAAATACATGACTCTAGCTTCAAAGTTAGAAACCGTTCTTTAAAAGAAACTGTATCCTGATAGGTGACGAATACGTTGACTCGACACAAAAGGGTGGCAGAATCGTTTTTTAACGATGTCTCTTGAAAAATCCACAGGGGATAAACCGGTACCATCTCGACACGGGTCACATTTGTATCGCAGAAGTTTCTTTGACAAGTCATTTCATTTTCCATTCGTCTTTCTTCGCGCGATCACTGCAATCTTTTGTTCCTTTTCACGCTCCAGAGACACTTGTCCTCCGTAAAGGTACATAGAGAAGAGAATAATATTCACAGTCGCTAACGCGAATTTTATTCCCATAAATCATCGGGACCATCCCGTGAAGCTGATAACACAGGGGTCGACATTGTTACTTACTTTTTTGGATGACATCCTTCAACAATCCAGATAACTGTGCACTCGTGTAAACCATAGTTGGCTGATTCCTCTTGCCCATCTTTGTTTTTTTGCTGGTTGGTTTATTGGGAGCCTTGTTCTTACGGGTCGAGGATTTTCCAGCTTCTTCGTCGCTGCTTTCATCCTCTTCAGAATTACTAACAGACTGCGTTTCCCACGACGATTTACCTTTTTACGATGTAATAGGAAATATATATAAATGTTTCCCGATCGGGCATCTTTTCGATATTATGTACACGCAAATTGCACTATAAACTTGTATTCATTTCGACGTATAGAAATATTTAACACTATAATAGATTGCCGGACAAATAGATCTGTCAAAATAGGTATAGCAGATATGGATTTTTGGAACTAAGGAGTGGGAGGAAAAGGAATTAGTATTAAAAACTATTAAAAACCAACATATGTATTAAAAAAAGTTATTTAAGTTTTTCTATATATGTATATAGCAATAAAATCATAAATGAGTCAAATTGACTCGCTCTGGCAATCTAGTATTAATTAAAAGTGGTAATTATGATCAATACTTTTCCTCTTGTAAAATTACATATTTCTAATTAATTTATTGTGATAATATTTCTTTCTTATTTCATTAATAGATACTATACAAAGAAATTTATTTATATATTTACTTTATAAAATAATACAATCGTTATCTACAATTTACATAAAAAGTTCGTTCATTATTCTTTTATAGAGTATCTCTGTTTCATCACTTAGAAACACGGAAATTTTAATTAAGGTAGTAAAAACTTGGAGTCTGCTCTTCAACAGCGATTAACGTATTATAAATTCATGAGGACATCGGAAGTTAAAACTGAAGTTCAGGACTGCGTGACGGTTTTTAATTTAATACCTTCATATTAACAGATACCGGACAAAAAAGTAAGCGAACTCGAGCAGTATAAAAATGTAGATACCTATGGAAATCGTAAGGTAACAAGCGAAACAATTTTACGTTTACAGAGGGAAGAAAAAGAATTTTCCTCGGTATAGGAAATGGTATTCCCTCGATTCGCGTACGTTTCTAAAATATTTCGATCAGCACACATGCAATATTAAGATCCGCCGTTGCATAGCATCTCGTGGAATCGTATTCGCCCTCGCGACAAGGAATCCGCGAGAAAACGTTATTTCAATGCCACGTAAGCGAAGACAAAGCTTTGCTTTTATACTTCATCTCCTAACCTTGTGTGTCTACAACGCGCGATCTATTGCAACACATTGAATACAAATAAGCGTAGGTGGGCGGAAAGAGAAAAACAATAACAAATGATAAATATGAAATTCCTAGCAGTGTAATGGAAAGCAAGGGAACGAGTCATATTGGAGTTGGAGCAGGAAAAGCTACGACTGAATTTCCCGTTTTTCGATATTAAATAACAAGATTTGTATTCCGCGACGAATCCACCCACGAACTACTCTCCCGTTCGTGCACAATGCTCAGGTGGAAAATTCAAATATTACTTCGATCGTGTTTTTTTGTATTCATAACTCGTGGAACTCGTTAAACACATGTTCATTCATTGATGAAAAATTCCCTTAATGAAACTACGGAAAACTTTTCTGTTATTTATTTCAATAGCTGAATTAAATAACAGAGGTTTGGAAAAATTTCATGAATTAAAATAGCAGTTTTCCATTCTTTAATCAATTATATCAGCAAAACGAAAATTCATAAATTTCGATACCATTGATAAATACAGAGTTTTCTATATACAATACATAGAATTTTTTATTCGTTTCGGATAATGTGTTAGACAAAAACGATGCATAAAATTAATTATTTATCTAAGACTTCCAAAAAAATTATTTTAAAAAATCTCTACATGGAATAGAATCAATAATTTTGCTGTTCCGAGGGGCAAGAAGCGGATAACGAAATCTATATACCATCCCTTCTCTGATAGCATCGACGAAAGGTTTTTCTCTCCTCGAGCCTATAAAAGAATCGGAAGAGGGTCCTACAAGAAGATTCCGTGCAAATTGATCTTGCCTTTATTTTTTCCCCCCTTTCTCTGTTTATCTCAGGCCGTTCGCTTTCCTGCGAGGCGACACTTGCTCCCTCCAAAAACGAGTACACTGGATGCAGTCGATGGCAATCGTGTTAGCAGAAGACTGATCGAATAGGAATAGTCGGCGAATCAGAGGATGGTAAGAAAGACAGATGCGAATGGAATGGGGTAGGATTGGCCGGAACTGGGGGTGGTTCAGAGATCTGTTCGAAGTCGAAGAAAGGGCTGGAAAAAGGGACGATGCAGACGGCCACAGGATGAGAACTTAGAATGAAAAAGAAAAAAAAGAGAAAGATAGGGCGAACACTCACCGTGGTTGCTTTTTCTGGATCGTTTCTTGCGCAGCTCCTTGCGATCCGTGGCCAATCCTAATTCCAAAAGCTTCTCCTTGATCTTTGGCTTCGGCCGCTTTATTGTAAGCCCATTGAAGATCAGCTCCACGGGATCTGTTGTTCGCAACATAAACCGTATCGGCATTATTTCGACGTTTGACAGAATTGGAACGTTCATTCGATACGGATCGCAGCGAATGGGAGGAAATTAAATCAGGAAAATTGGATCCAATCTTCCGATAAGTAATCTCTGCTTGCTCTTAATAACAGCCTAACGTGTAGAATGATAAAATAAACTGAGAATCTACGATACGTTTTAATTAGAAGGATGAAACTTAAATATTAGATCATACCAAACGCTCGTGACGTTCGTATTGTTGCAGAGTGTGGTATTTCCATAATTTAGATAAATTTTATTTCATGAAAAAGTATTCTGGTTTGATATGTTCTTTCTAAAAATTTAAATTATAAAAATCTAAAGTACTCAAAATGTAATTTTATTCAAAGTAATCAAATAAAAAGCTAAAGAAACACGCGGCTTCTATTATGGAAATTTTCTTTTAAACATGATACCTAATCATGGAAATTGTTTGAATATTACCTTCATCATCTTTTAGCTGCTCCCAAAGTTCTGTGAGCTGAGTAATTTCATCCTTTGACCATTCTGTCGGAAGCCTCTTTAGAATCTCATTTCGAACGCTCTAGATCAATAATTTTTAATTATTAAAAATTATCAAATTTTCTCAAGTAAACATTCACACCCAAATACTGGTACCCCAAATCTCACGCCTACAATTCAGGATTTCTAACATGATATATCATCGAAAGTTCTGAAATTTGATTTAATTTTATAATAAAATTAAAAAATCATGTGAGTTTAATTAGAAAATCCTATATACATAATATATTCCTAACGTTTAGACATAAAGATAGCAGGGTAACTGAGTTTTTGAAGAACGTCTCCTGCTTAATTCCTGATCTGAAATCCCTGTTTCCTCGAAGAAAGGTAAACGGAAAAAGTACGATGCTTGTTTTCCAACGATTACGTTTCACCCTTGAGGTTCTTGTTGGTTCTCTTAAATGGCCGTCGCGTAGCGTTATGCGACTTCACGGATTAAATGAATGGCAAATGAACAGCTTGGCGTAGTTTTCCCTCGTTTAGTTTTCAGGGGCGAAAGGTATCCGCGCATGAAATTATTTAAATGAAATGCCCTTGCTCCCTTTCGCGGATTTTCTCGGCGAATCAATAATGTTTCGTCCCTTTCTCATTTACTTTACTCCCCTACTTAATGCTCATTTCGGTAAGTCGATGCTTAGTTTACCAAGAAACTATACTAAGTCTCTGTGATAAGAGAAAAGTAGATAATACGGCTCATTATTAAAATAATCATAGGAAGGATTAAAGTGCCATAATAGAAAACTGGAGAAGAGTATTGTTAACAAAGAATTGAGAAAAGAAGAATTCTAATAAATTATTGAACAGCATTCCAAATATTTGTCACGAGAAAATACTTCTAGAGTTGGATATCATTACTGAAAGTTACATAGACTTACAACGGTAAACATCATTAAACTTTACCAAAGTGAAATGTTAAATTGCTTATTTTGAATTTCAACTGAAATACAACATTTACAGTGATTAATTCGGCGTCAGATAAACTTTGAGGAAACTTCTCTAGAAGGAATTTCTTAGGAAATCAATAATACTCCAAGCAATCCAATCAGCTTTTACTAAGGGTAGAATATCAGTCAGTCCCTTCTTGTTAATGATGGTATTTACTTATAACAAGCTGTACATAAGCACCAGATTAATACATGTAACCATTTAAAATTACATTTCAAATTTTAAATAAAAAATTCAATTTTCAAAAAATTTAACAAATATTCGACAAACTTTGCAGAATGAATATTAATGAACATTTTAATTATTCAAATTATCCCATAATCGGTGAGTGATTAAAAATAATAAAAATACAGGGTGTATACTTTTTAAAGATGGTACTCATTATATTTATAAAATTTATGAATTATGCACTCATTAAATAATCAAGGAATAGTTATACAGGAATTCTATTGCAATAATCAGTCAAGAAATCAATAACATCCCAAGAAAGCCAAGACTCGGTCCGAATCGATGATAAAGGGACAATCAGCTCCCTTTACTACAGTAGCAACGGGTGCACACCTATGATTAATCGTCAATTTTGAAGTGGGGTAATACCGTTTTAACGCTACTCAGATATATCGTCGCCTTTTCCCCCAACTCCGCCCATCTATCTCTCTTACTTTCCCTCTATTTCTCTTTGGCGCACGTGCTTCCATGTCTCCTAGACGCCTTAAAGCAGGTAATGTCTTAAGATTATCGGTATAACGTGTCCTGCCGTGATGTTGTCCGATGGGTTTTCCACCCAGTAAACAAAACAGTGTAACGTGAAGAGTCCAGTTAGATCACGAACCAAGTATTAAATGCATAAATAAATGAAAAATAATATTTCTTATTTCTATGTTAGACTTTTTAAACGAACCTTGTTCGAATGTTTCATTGATGCTTCGTTCGATTACCAAGCGACGCGTTTAAAAGTGCATTACATGTAAACTTAACGATCATGCAAATAGGGAATCTCATTTCACCGTACATTTTCATGCAAATTTTCTTCGAAAGTTTCGCTGTTACATTCGCACTTTTTAGAGCTCGGAAAATTCTGCTTTTCGAGCTATGCAAATCCATAATACATGAATTGGCAGTTACTTGTTCCGAAAGGTTTTGTTTAAAATCGTATTGTAAACTAGTCTGAAAAGTTGTCGCATAAAGGATTATTCAGAAGGTAGTAGGACACGAGAAAAGGACGAAACGAGTATCGGTATAACGAAACATTGAAATCTCAGCCATTCTTTACTTCGCTGTTAATTCACCGCTACACTTTTCTTTTCTTCTTTTTAATAATCTTTTCTATGCTCATTGTTACTGAATATTCTTTCACCTGTGAATAGTATTATACTGGAAGCATTGATACTGTTCAACAATAAAACAGTTATGAAAATCACGTTTTTTTCTGTGGTATTTTTTATCCGATGCTCATTACAATTTCTAAAATTTTTCTAACAATAAGCATTGTTATTTATTGATCATTAGTCTGATAATTTTTCTCAGTTGCTAATACCTTGACTTAGTTTTTTGAATTTTTCTAAATAATAAATCTACACATTAATTACTCTTGGAATCATTCCAACAGTCAGTGAAATTGAAGTAGCAAGGGTAGGAGTGTAGCAGGACAGGTATGTATGCAGAGGAAGGATTCATTCAAAGTTAAGGGAGCATCGTCTATTTATGTGTCTAGCTTCCTCTCGAAAATCTTGGATAGGAAAACGCAAACAAAGCGATAGCTTTTCATAGGATGGCAAGGCGCCGGAAAGGAACACTTGACAGGAGAAAATCTCGAGATACATCCATCCAGGAACGTAGAAGTCGCCGAGGGAGAAGAACTCTTGCTGGCGCAGCGGAAGTCGTGATCCACGCAGGAACAGAGGAACTTCCTTCTCGAACCGAGAAGATCGAGAGAGAAAAGGGGCTAAGGAAAGCTTCTTGCTGAAATTGTCTCCCGAGAATTTACAGTTCCTACAGCAATTCTCTGGCTCTATTTTTTGCATATGTGTTTACCCCGTCAACGACGCCAGTCCAGAAACTTATTTTCGAGGCTGAGGCCACCCCTCGTTTCCTCAAGTTCCTCGTAAATCATTGACATTGTCAGGGTTTCGTTGATGAGAACAGACCAAAGACGAATTGTTGAAAGATGATGTACAGTAGAAGAAATTTAACGAACAATTGATGATTAACAATAATTAACAAAAAAAGATTGATTTCCTTTTATATAGAATTTAATTCGTCATATCAAGGTTCCTAATACCAGGAAAACATTTATTAACTTTAGTATGAAGTTTTGAGATAGATATATGTACGTCTTCCTTTAAACGAACTGTAAAGATACGTGGGTTTAGCGGATATTGGTCTCGTAGAACCGATAAATCACGGAGAAAATAATCTTTGCGAAATATAGCCACTATATTTTTTTCGTAATCGACTATTTTCGCTGACTCTGCAACTCCCGATCCCTCTTCAATTTCATTCATATAAAAAATTGACGCTCACGTGTGTTATAGAAGAAAGGGTGATAGAAGTACTACGTTTTAAAATTTAACATCTCATAACGTTGATAAAAATAGATTTAAAATGAAAAATTGTTATAGTTAGTACTTACCTTAGAATTGACAATCAAGCACAGTTCTTTCAGCTTCTTTATAATACCACGGCGTGTTCGTTCTTGATTGATATGTTCTAATATCCAATCAATGACATCTAAACAAATAAAATATTTCTTGTTAAATAAAACAACACAGGTAATTCCTTCAAACATCTATATATATTTATATGTAATTAATTGAAGAATTTATTAATTCTAGAAATTAGAAATTTACAGCAAAAAAAAGAGATTTTGTAATTTGTGAAATTGTTTCTTAGCAAAACTATATGGAATTTAATGAAGTTTATTTCCCAGTAGAGATAGCCAGGACGAAAGGGTTAAAAATAATTGAAAAGGGAGGAAAATGTAGTAAGCCATAGAATTTAGGGAAAATCAGAGCAACGTACCCTGAGGATAGTTGTTAGTCTGATGTTCCATAAAGAGCGTGCGTAACTCGTCCTCTTGGGCCTCGGTCCAGGAGCGCTGCGGAACTTTCTTGTTATCCGTTTCTGCGTTATAACCATCGATGACTTCAGCCGCGTCACGAGTGGTCTTCCAAAAGAGCAGCTCCATGTACGCTTTCTGGTTCTTCTGGGCGACTTCGATAAAACGTCGGATTATGAAGACAGCGAACTTTTGAAGTTCCTGCAAAGAGGGTTTGTCGGTTTTTATCATAGCAGACAAGTGCCCCATTAAATAGAACGCATGGATGCAAATTCGACGAGATAATTTGTCGAGCTGAGAGAAACCAGAATCCACAGAATGTTGTTTTTAAAATTGTCATTATATTTTATTTAAATTTTAAACTGATCATTTAACATGCAACAGTCTCGTTCATTCGTTTCAAGGTATGATAAAATTAAAAGTACAATGTAAAAATTATACGGTTTCGTGGCTTTAATTATGAAATTAATCTCTTGAATTTAAATAACGAGCTTTGCAGAAATCTCATTTATTTTCTGATGAAATTAACTCTTTCAGGTACGACGTAATTAAGATTATTTCTGCATACAAATACCATTTAATTTCTTCATTTTTATTTGTTTTTAAATTACCTTGTGACCTGGATGTTTCGATTCAAGAATTCTTTGAAAAACGCGGAACATAGATGCCTGAAACATCATTCCTGGCATTTTACAATCCCAAGCAATTCGATGAAGCATTTTATTGACATAATGGTTTACGTCGTCCGTGTTTTTATCAAATTGTTGCAGCAGAACCAACATAGCTTTAACAATTTTCACATTGGCGAATCTTAAACAAAATTTCATATTAGGAACATTTATTTAGTATTAAACAATTGCCTTCGTAATTTACCTCTGAACGAATTCAGGAAAATTGAAATTAGTTTCCACAGCTACAGAATCTGGTTGGGATTCTTCCTCCTCGTCTTCTTCCTCTTTTGAAACAATATATTTTATCCTATGTAACTTACAGAATTTCGTAAAAAAAAAACATTTGTTATACATTACCTGACACGTTATTAAAAAGATTCTCGATATTTTCCTGCTGATTCGTCTCGTTTTGTGTAACAGGATCATCTTCCACTAGTGAGAACAGAACGAGATATTAACATTAAAAGTGATTTAAAAAACAAATAATATAATTTCTAATTTTTACATTTCATACAATTTGATATAAAATTCAGAAACATGAATAATAATATAAATATCAATTCAAATTTTCTATGTGGGAAGGATTTGGGGTCTCCTCCCCTATATCTCCTCCTTAGGAATAGCTAAAGGGGGAGGTGAGGGTCTCTGTAAGGGGAAGCTTACGGCGAGGGTGGAAAACCCACGAACCCCCAAACTCGAGGAAGCTTATGGAGGAGGTTTTCAGCCCCAAATGCTGAGGGAAGGGGCATCGCCATTGTTTCTGGAGAAACCTACAATGCCCGAAACTGTACATCGCTCTTTACAGCGTTTACTTCAAAAATCACGTAAACGACGTATAACAATTTCCGAATTCAACTACTCCATTGAATCGCACCAGAGAAGACTCAACGAATGTCGACAGTCGTTTTTGGTCATGATCGAACTCGGACAAATCGTAGGTGGGGGATTTAGACCGCGAAAGCGGAGATCACGGGATGGTTTGTTAAAATCCATCGATGAAAAAAAAAAAAGCGGATCGTGGGAGGAAAAAAAAATGGTCGCGGTTGGATTAATTTACGGAGGTCATGCGGAATTCCGGAAATGGCGATTGTTCGGTCCGCGAAACGGCCACTGGAATCCGCATGTATACACGCGGAGCGGGAACGTGGAATCCGATCGGTCCGATTTCACAGGTTTCGGGTTAGCCCGGGATTTTTTCCTATTTCTCTGCATTGCAGCAGCCGAACCCCGACCAACGAATTAAGCAGCCGTGGAAAGACGATTACATTTTCGACGAGTCTGACGGGGCCAGTGGCCGGTGAAAAATTGCACCGGGTGAAAGCAACGATTGGATCGGCACAAAGCCTCGTTACGCGGTAAATTTTCTAAGGCTTCGCCGGCGTATCCTCTTTCTTCGTTTCCTCGAAGCTGTATTTCGCTTGAACCTGCCAATGGACTGGTTCGAGCTTCGAATCGTGAACGAAATTTCAATTTGTCTTTAATTTATCATATTCTTCTATTTTCTTTTTATAGCGTTACGTGACGCTATTTCTATAATCATGATTTTGAATAAATTTTTCTAATCATAATATCATGCCTAATAATGCAGGAACTTTAGACGTCGCTCAACACAGAAACACGTTAAAATGAATCGTTCTAAAACAGTTGCAGGACGAAGTATTCAAAATTATCGTGCAAAGTTTCGTTTCAAGTGTTCCGTGTTGCTCCGACCAAAGAAAACTTTGCCAGCTGTCCGAAGAATCCGGTTTGCTTGACTGATGTCGACGACGATGCTATTTCAACCGAAAGTTTTAATTGTTCCTTTCCATGGTATTCTGAACTCGCTGCGCTGGCTCCAGATAAAATAAAGCCTTCTAAGGAAATCGCGACGTTTTCATCTAAACTTCAAAGATTTCTTCGTGGTCGAAATAAATAGAACGTGTTCAGTCTACTAGGGCAAAAATCAATTAACAATTTACGGGTTAATTGAGAACGTATAATAATTTATAGAATAAGAAATAATTCCTCTCATTAATCATTCGTTAGCAGCAAATTCTACAATTAGCTACTACGAAAATTTCTATCATTGATCTGCACTACTTTTGAGTAGTAAAGATAGATTTATGCAAAGATAGATTTAACTTCAATAAATCCTTGCATTGCAAAAATCATTGCAAAATTTTGGAGGAAGGAAGTTCATTTTAAAAATACATACGTACACATTTTCTACTCGGCAATTAAGATCTATAAATGTCAAACCCTTCATCTTGAATTCCGTTAAGGTATAACTAACTGATATAATCTTGGAATACAATCTTGTTAGGTGCAGAGGAGTTATAATATAATTCATAGACACGAGAATTGTTAGGGTCTCGTACTCCATCTAGGAATTGCATATCTATACAAGAGTTTCGAAACTGAACACGTCCGACAATGTCCCATCAAAGCTCTTTGAGATATTAGCAACAATGCATATATAAGATAGACAATGATGCACACTACTTATACTTGTTTATTCCTTCAGCTACTTACGTATGATCCGCCTAAATATTAAAAACTATCCTCTAAATTAAATTTTTCTTATTTATATATTCAAGTTTTTAATATTACGTTCTTGCAACCTGCAGGGTTGCAATTTTAGCCTTCTATAGAACAAATCATTGATTTAGATTCTTATCTGGAATAAATTAATCTTTAACCCTTTGAGGAGGGAGCATTGTTAAACTTGCACAGAGTATGATTAATTAAAAAGATAACAATTCTATCCTTCAAAGTATATATTATAAATCATTATTGCCTACACTTATAGCTGTTTTGTATCAAGAATATAACATAATATGTACAGAATTATAAATTATAAAGGGTTAAAAATATGACGTGAATGCTATCTAATATTTTCTTTGCTCAGTTTATGAATTTCCTATGGGTGCAAAATTCGAAAACACTATCGAGATTCTGCATACTTATCTATCTTCATGGAAAATGGAACATGGTACTAAAATGTAAGAGCACTTTGTTAGTAAAGTCTGGTTCATCTGATAGATTAACCACTTACGTACATTAGTGTGTGTGTAGGTACTCTGGCGTCAACGATTACTAACGGTGCATGACCAAAGTCTCCTGATAACTCCGGTTATGTCTTGTTACAGGCTTATCGATCGGCCCTACGATTCAATGGTGACATATAATGGTGCAGCTGCGTGTGCACAGGTGTGTACGCATACAGGTGTCTGAACTATACAAAGGCGATTTACAAGCGATGAGAGTGTCGCTTCTATCACGTCCATGACGACGCTTGATTGATTTACGCGCTCCTAGCAAGTTTTGTTTAATTAGATTTTATCGTGTTTCGTAGGGACAGTAGCGTGATAAGAATTATTAACACGTTAGCTATTGCAGTGATAATGAACGTGTCTGTGCATAGTACAGTATCGAGCATGGTAGTCTTTCCCAAAAGAATGGCAATACCCCCACTCGTAGGCTTCTACGAGTTCTCCCGACTTCACCCGAACGCGGTCCCGAGGCCACTGACAAAGTAGGGGCGGGGCCTCATAGGTCTGTGGCTCCCCACTACTTGCGTATAAACGTTTACGCGGGAGAATTTGAATCGACAATTGTGTTATTATTCTATACTAAATTTTATGATACCTAATAATTAAAGATTACACTACTTTGTTTCTATTGTAAATCACTTTTAATATTAAATTTTATTTTTGATATTAAATTTGTAGTGTCAGTCACCGAAATGGTGTATAAATCTCATACTGTAATAACAGTTTAATATATTTAAGATATTAAAAAATTATTGGCAATTTTTGAATAACTTTATTTTATTCGAAGTCGGTTTCAATAAAATTTTATTGGAATAATGCCCAACAACAATGTGTGTTAAATTCCTGTGCAAAATTCAATATACTATATTCCACATGTCGTAAAGAATATGTTATTAACAGATAAGGAATCTCTTCACTGAATGCGAGACTATATGTGAGATATTATTTCTCCCTCTGGACTGGTAGGTAATTCCTTCAAAATAATTTGCATTTCAAGTCAGAAATGTTGCTGGTAAATGTAGATTCAAGGCAATTGCACCATGCGGTTTATAGCCTGCAATCATGAATTTTATGCATGCTCATTACATTTCATTCGAGCTTCTATCTGTAGTATATCACTCTTTATTACCCACCGCAATTCCCTATTACTTTCTGCTATCTGTTTGTTTCTAAAGGCTATAATCACCTTTTAATTGAACATAAGCACGTAATACTTATTAAACATTGATGAAAAAATCATTATAAATATTTCGTATTTAATCACGATAACAATTTATGTACAACAAAATCGTTATTGATCGCGAAACACGTCGAGTGGTAAAAGTTAATATGCAGTATTTCTTTCCAACGTTATCAACGATTTCTCATCCAACTGTCAGGTTTTTCGGTTATTTCAAGCCAAACAACATATCTTCAGATATAAATCCTTCCCCAAAGTGAAACAGTAGACAGTTTCTGTGAAAACAGTATCTTCTATCAACGAATTATAATTAACATTCTCGCCGAGTCTGTTCGTACTTGATACCGATCTCTCGTTACACTCACGATCTTGATCCCCGAAACATTAAATTAGGCGTTATCGTGGGTGCGAACACGAGGGTGGCATTATGCGATTGCGTTACTCGCCTGTAATAAGTGTTGCCTAACGTACACACAGTGGCTGGGTAAATAGGTTCGAGCAGGGCCTATCAGAAGTTTCATGCTTGAAAATAAGGGGCGGGGGAGGAGTGAGGGTGGTTGCGGATGAAATAGGCAAGGGAGAAACAGAGCCTGGAGTGGGTAAGGACGAAGGGACGAGGTGTAACTCGGTTTATCGTTGCCGGGACGAAAACTCTGGCGCAGAGCCCTGCTGTAATTTGTGAGAAGATAATAACCGTCGTCCATGGACACAGCTATCGAATTGCTTCTCTTTTTTATTCACACCATGTATTGCATTTAAAAAAGGCAATCTCCGAAATAATTTGCGCGCTATCGGTTAGCCGCTTTACCGAGATAGAGCCGAGGCGCGGAAATAAGTGGCATCTAAAAGCGGAAAGGGAAAATGGTGAAAGGACGATAACTGTGTTACGAATGATTTAGTTTGCAATTGTAATGCTGAAAACGAAGTAGATCACTTAACGATACTATAATTTATAAATAATACTATATGCAGCTGGCAACTAATTTCAAATTATCGATAACCATTTAAACTATAACGCAAATTCGATGAAATATTTCTGTGAAAAAATTATGAAATTTCTTTTTATAAACAAAATTTTGTCGCTTAGAGAGCTTATTGCAAAATTAGAAATTATTTTCTACCTCATACAGTCGCTTCTTTTCGAGGAAATATTTTTCTGAAAAAATGATGAAAATTTCTATTCATAAACAAAATTTTGTTGTTTAGGTAACTTAGTGTAA